TAAAACTCAGATCCACCTGGAATGACTAAGGAATGGAAGTTCTCTATATGTGAACATTTTTAAACTTTGTAGAAGCCACAGCATTTTTTTAATTCCTAAAAGCATTTTAATTCCTTACTCTGCAAAACACAGACAGAAGAAAGCTGGTTGCATAACTGAGGTCAGAACAGAAGCTACATGAACCAAATGAAACCTTTCCTCCTAAAACAAAATAAACAGCTAATTTTCCAAATAAGGGGTGCAAGACCACAAGCAGCCTTAATGCACTGCGTTTATCCACTCTCAGGACTCATGTAATTACAATTTAATTCTAAGTGGTGTCTTCTGCAGAAGCAGGCAGACACACAAGTGCCTTTCTAATCCCCTTCGTCCCTCTCCAACCTACTGCTCAGTTACCTCAGAAAATGTTCCCTCCTTTCTTCCACACCTCAATATGAGCTGTCAGCAAAGACCTCAAGATGGGCGACTAAAATTGGTGCCAGAGAAACAACTCTATTAAGAGGGGAAATGGAGGATCTTTTGAAGCTAAATTAGACTTTCATAGCTAAACTCAAAACCCACTGGAAGTATCCTTGGAAGCCATATACCCATCCAACTTCTGATCTTCCCCTCAAAGCCTAAAGAAAGAATGCAAGAGATATACAATGGCATGTGATGACTAATGTTCTCAGGATTTTAGTCCTATCATCATTGAGTTACTTGTTTGTAAATGCCTGTTTCTCACACATTCACTCTATCTTCCCTTGGCTTATGACATACCTTCTCCTAATTTTCCTTGTACCTTACTTCTCTGATCAAATCTTTTCCAAGAACTCCTCTTGCCCTGCACACTTCACAGGTATTGGCACCACTAGGGTTGGAGCCTCAGCCCACTGAGTTTCCTCATTCTGTTTTATTATTCTGTGATACCATCTTAGTTACTTTTTTCTCGTTGCTGAGAAAAAATACCCCACACCCAAAGTTAAGAAAGGGAAGGTTTATTTAGCTCACAGTTCGTAGAGGTTTCAGTCCATAATCAGCTGGCTCCAAGGCAGGGTGGTGCATCAGAGAGGCAACCATCCACGGTAGCAGAGGACAACAAAAGCAATAAGAGAGGAAGAGAGGGGGAAGCAATCCTCTTTCCCTCCCTTATACTGAGTGTAGGCCACCAACCCTAGGGCAGGTGTAGCACTCACACCCCAAATCCCAGCACCAGACAATGAATCAATGACAAAGTAGATTCAGCTGCCTCTGAAAAGCGCCCCCATGACCACATGAAGCTTTGGGGGACATCCAGACACAAACCATAACAGATACCTTTTACTCCTAGGTAGGCAGATGATTCTCACAATTGACTCTCCCCAGAGGCAGATGATCTCCTTATCCAGTTCCAACTTGACCCAGGGCTTCATATCCATACATCCAAAACTTCCTGGACCTCTCTAGCTAACTGTCCCCAAAGAATCTCAAGCTCAATAAATCTAAAACTCACTGCTTTTCCTGCACACCTTTGCTATACTGTACTCTATCTCTTAGAAGTGTTTTTACCCAGCTACCCCTGCTCCAGACCCTAGAGCCATCCTAGACTCCATCCTCCCCCTTGGTTCCATCTAATCCCTAACCCATGTTAGTAACTAAGCTCTCCAGTCCATCTCATGCATTCAATCCCACCACACCAACCTTGGCCAGACTGTGGGACCCATCTGCCCTCTGCCATCTTCTCAAGTGGTCTCCCTGGTCCCCCTTCTGATCTCTGAAACACACACTGTACCTGAAAGGAGTCTACCTAGATGGCAAATCTATCCATGGAGAGCTGAGCACCTCAAATCCTTCCTCACCCTTATAGGTTAAAGTAAGGGACTCTATAACTTTTATTTGGGGGGTGTAGACCTTATCTTATCTATCTCTTCCCTGTTTCTTAAGGTTTGAAAGGGAATTTAAATTTTTTTGTTTTTGTTTTTGGAGGTTTTGTTTGTTTGTTTGAGACAGTCTCACTATATAGGGCAGGCTGGCCTTAAACTTGCTTGTGTATCCCAGGCTAGCCTCGAACTCATGGCAGTCCTCCTGCCTCAGCCTCCCAAATGCTGGGATTACAGGTGTGTACCATCATGCCTAGTGAGAATTCAGATTTTAAAAGGAATTACTCTCACATTTTTACAATCTATTTTTACATCAAATAGTTAAGTTTTCTTGCACCTTTATTAGCCATAGCACTGGTGCAAATCCATCTACATTACCTCATTTCATCCTCACAGCAACCCAAGAAAGTGAGGCTATTTGCATGCCTGTCTTACAGAGTGGAAAAAAAAAAAAAAAATCCCAGGTCTAAAGAGGCTCAGTAGATTTTCCCAAGAACATATAGCTAGTAAGTGGCAGAGAACAACTTTGACCAAACTCTGTAAACTCCTAACGTGGGTGTATATATCACACAGACATGACAGCCAGGTTGGCCCCTGGGGCTGAATGCACACAGCTGGAAGGAGACAGAGTGTGTGTTACGGTTTAGATCAAGAACTGACTGGAATCCGGGGACTTCAAAGCAGAATGTGCTACTGGGAGTGGGGATCTGGTCAGAAGAGGCAGGAACTGGGGGCTTGACCTGGAAGGGTGCATCTCCCTCCCCAGGTCCTCCTGGCTCCCCTGCTTCCAGCTGGAGCATCTGTCCTCTGCCCAGGCCCTTCCAATATTCCTGCAGCTGAGCTAGCTGACCATGGACTGAAACTGCTCAAACTGTGAGCCAAAATAAACCTCTGCTCCTGCAAGCTGTGAGTATTGGTGGCTGTGACTTGGTGAGGGAAACGGAACCTGGACAGTGTGAAAGAAGGAAATGGAAGTTCATACACCTATGGGTTAAAGATAGTATTGAGATGAAATAGAACTTTGTGGATTCACAAATCATTATCTGATATTCATCTTCTTCTCAATATGAAATATGACCTGCAATTCAACCAGCTACATATTCCATAGTTACAGAAATATGACATTGGCAAAAAAGTAAAGGATTCCACAACTATGGCGTATGCCTCTGGTGAGCCATTCACAAAGTTCTTCGTGTGATTCAGTTTTATAGAAAGTCATCTACGAGGATTTCCGCAAATCTATCTGATAATATTTGGACATTAGAAAATACTAAATAATATTTGGACATGCACAGTTGGATTTAACAATTTATAGTCCGTTTTGTGTGTGCTCAGAAATGAAGGCACACTGTTAACTTGTGTGAGTTTTCTTCCACCTACAACAGCAATTCTGTGCTTTAGGAAATGGGTATAATCACATTCTTCCCATCTGAACAGAGTCTGGCACCCACAGTCAGCCCCAGGCCCACAGCGCTCTGTTCCCACTCGCTCCCTAACGCGTCCCCCTCCTCCAACACATCCCCCTCCTCCAACACATCTGCCCTCTCCTCGCACCTCTGCCTCCCACCCTCGGCCAGGCCACCTCTGCCTCCAGCGCTGCGCCTCCCGGGCGGATCTGCCCAGTCTGCCTCCTCCGCACACCCTTGTCATCCTTTTCCTGAGGGAGGAGCCCAGGCCCTCCTCACCCTGGCTGCCCACAGATTTCTCTTTGCAAATCACCTCCTCCTCTTTGTTCTGTAGCTCCTCTCTCTCCGTTGGCCATTTTCCCAACCATTCAAATTTATTTTGTTTCCGCCACAGGAAAGGAAATGAAAGAAACTCACCCAGCCCCGTCCCCCAGGCGAGCAACCTGAGGGCTCCCACACGCCTCCCAGGGCCTTGCTGCCCGCACAGCAGGCGTCTCAGGTGGCCCCACCCGCATTCCTCTCTTTCCTTCCAGACCTGTCCTCTGCAGACCCTTCAGGCAGCCCAATCCCCAACCTAGAGATCGCACGGCACCATTTCCTAACTCCCTAAAACACTCCATCTCTCCTCTCAGCTCACTCACTCACTGGTATTCAATCATGTTTCCTTATTTTTTGTTGTCCAGCTCCCTCGTTCCCTGTCGAACTCCATACACATGCACTGCTGTGAGAGCGGCTCTTCTAGCTTCACCACGAAGCCGAGCAACACGAAGGCCTGCAACGGGGTGGGTTCTCGGTAAACAGGCAGTGATCGAGTGAATCACATCCGCTCATAAACGCTTCACTGTGGCTCTCAAGCGCCTGCATTTCCAAGTGGAGCTTTCTACTCCATTAGACATTCTAGAGTAGAATCAGACTTTAGTAGTAGCAGTTTGGGGATTTTTTTTTAAAGGTACATATTTTTTACCTTTTGGACGTCACTCGGACTTGTTCCTCAAAACTACAATTCAGATGTTCTGTCTTCTCATAGAAGTATTTTTCCACACACTGCTCTTCAAAATCATGAAGTTTTTTCAGATCTTCTGTACTCAAGTACAGTTCTGTGGAAATAAGGTTTATACGTATGAAAAAATCATTTTTTGCCCTTAATAGCAAGCTGATGCAGGGTACGCTATGGATCAGATATGCTTTGAGTATTTCCCCAAAAGGCTCACGGGCTGGCAGCCCGCTTCCAGTGCGGTGAGACACAGTGGTGGGGCCTTTAGATCCTGGGGCACCATCCTTGGAAGCGATTCGGACAGTTCTCACAGGGGCCACAATGGAGCAGGCCCGGCCCCTGCTGGCCTCTCACTTCCTGTCTCACTCTGTCACCACGCCCCCTTTACCATGTGTGCTCCCGCCCATGCCGTCGGCCATGTTCTGAAGCAACCGGAAGACCCTCACTAGAAGCCAACTATATAGAGCTGCCCAAACTTGGACCCTCAGCCTCCTAAACTGTGAGCAGAACGCACTGGACCCTCCCGAACAACATGGAGTTCAGAGGAACCAACGCCCATGCACTCAAAAATTTGAATTTAACCTTTGACTCCCCAAATGGGAGTTTAGATTCTTGCTGACCAGAAGCCTTCCAGATAACATAAACAGTCGATGAGCACATTTTATATGAGACATGAGTCTATGGTGAAAAATATATAAGAACAATGAGAGGTTCCCCTTTTTACTTTGATAAGCAATTGACTGGAGAGCTGGACCATGCATATGCTAATCAGCGTCGCAAGCATTTAAGGAGATGGTCACAGTACTGGGGCTCCCGACAACCCAAGAGGTGGTAGCCAGGGCATTACCACAGCAGGACAGTACCTACTGCAGTCAACCTTAGGCAGCAGCAGTCTAACACTGCATTTACACATCTGTCTATATTTCTCTCAACTTCAAAGGGCACCATGGATGGCCGTTACTTCCCAAAGGAAACAGGTATGGTTTGTGTTCATATACTTCTGATATACTTTAATGTTTTCTAATACTTGTGTGTATATTTTATGGGAGTAAAGGATAAAATATACTATTAACTACATATATTTTATGCATTCATGATAGATCTAGCTTTTCGTTAATGTTGTCATTTGTAGGTACTACAGTTGGTCTTTGCATATTTTCAAGTCATTGCATCTCAAAAAAAAAAAAAAGTCTGCAAAGAGATATGATATACGAGGCAGGGCTGGCAAAACTTCCTGGAGAAATAAACAGGATCTGTCAATGACAACATCCCAGGACCGCACCAAAGAATTCCCAGGAGCCCGGATATGGAACTTCTCGCGGACTCCCACGAGATGTGAACGACCTATAAGGAGACAGAGGCCAGGAGGCTCCAGCTCTCCTGACTCCTCAGGGTGACTCACCCTGTGTCTGCCAGACATGGGCTGTACTTTTATTTTTGCTTTTTTATCCTTTTCTCTCTTGTTCAGCCCTAGTTTGCTCTTAGAGCCTGTTTCTCCCTTACCCCTTCCCTCCTCACTTTCCAAATAAACTTTTGGCACCATCTCTGGCTTATCTCAGCCAATTCTTTGTTCAAAGCAAGAAGGACCTAGAATCCTTCTCATTGGCGGGCTATTTCTAAAGGGACTACCTGACAACAGAGGGATCCTCACAGTTCAAATTCTTGGTGTTCAAAAGTCAACTGTAACCTTTTTTCTTTATAAAGTACCTAGCCTCAGGTATTTTAGCACAGAAACATGAGTCCAGTAAGATGGGGTACAAGTAGCTTTTCTCCCACCTACATTAAAAATGGTAAATTGTCGCTCATGCAATAAAAGGCCATGACTTCGTCACATTGTATTCCTGCAGAAGAGATGTATAACACAGTTAGAAACACCAGGCTGGGCCTCTCCTATTGTTCCCTAAAAATCAAGGTTAAAAGAAGGCAAACTCTGTTGAAATTAATCCAGTAAGTATAAGGAAGTTTCACCTTGTTACACTGAGCTCGTATCTATTACACCCTTCCATGGAAAAAAAGATATTACTATTACCAGCTAATGACCAATCCAGGCTGTATACCTTCTCTGACAGAATTAACTCTCAGAAAGATACATCGTTGTGTGATATTTTGAAGCTCCTGCGAATCCTCCTCAAACTTCAGCATTCGGTCCACCACCATGGCCCTCGCTCTTCTCTAGGGGGCTAATACATCATATTTTAAGCCAGCTTCTAATGTTTGGAAAATATAAAAATATAAATGACGTTGCTAAAAGGATACACTGGGAAAGTTCTCTTTCATGAGTGGTTTAAGTCAGGAGGAAGATCGTGATTACATTCCTACCACATTTATTAAAGGCGCAAATGTTTCATCATCTTCCAGTAAAGCAAAGGACAATGAATATTAATTTTTAACTGAAAAATGTAGCTCGAAGAAAATAATATCTGGCTTGAGGCACAGAGCGCTTTCTGCTTTATACGTCATGGAGGAATTTTTCAGACACTGAAAAATCCAGTCTCCCCCGCCGCACTCAGCTTGATGTCTGTGCACCAAAGTTTCTCCTTCAGCATGAAAACTGCGATTGCCACAGTGAGTCTGCGGTGAAGCGCCTTGCCGTATGTGGCTTGTTCCTGCAACTGTCCGCCAGGTGGCACTGCTACCCTGCTGGTAAACGTCTCTAACACAAAGGCCAGGAAAATGTCCCAAAGTTTTATATGGAAACGTCCCAAAAGCCCAGTTAAAGATGATCCCAGGAAAATTTCTTTCATAGAGCACTAGGAAATTTGAGTAAACTCTAGTCAGTTCCAGGTTCTCCTAAGTGACTCCCTCTTCTATTAGGTCTCAGTGGTTCTGCAGCTCATGTCTGGGTAGGCTCTCTATTAAAAGCCTAGAATTTGGGGGTGGGGATTTAGCTCAGCGGCACAGCACCTGCCCAGCAAGCGCAAGGTCATGAGTTTGATTCCCGGTACCAGAAAAAAAAAAAAAAAAGAAAGAAAGAAAAGCCTAAAACTTACAGTGCAATCATAAACGTTCAAGTTAACTTTAGTTGTACTTTAGCTTCCTTATAAAAGCAAAATCTCTTAGGAAGAAATCAAAGGCATCTTCAAAATGACTCGGGGGGTGGGGAGTACAATACAGCCAACTACTGCACACAAAAGTGTACTGCACTTTCGATCGCACGCAGCACAAGGGTGACCTGCGCCCTAAGGACCCCCCTAAGTGTGTGAATAACCCACCCTCCCTTACAGTATCGGAAACTGATAGAATCAGGACTACTTTAGAATAGGAATTTTCCTTTCTAATTTTAGAGAATATAGTACATATAAAATAAGTAAACTACTGGGTTCAGGCCAGCACAGCAAAACCAATCAACTTCCCATCAGAAGCGATGGGAAGGGTAAATGACTTTACCTAAGTTCCCTCTTCTCCGGCTCCTCAGGCCAGATGAACCTTGCTCTCGTTTATGAAGAAAACAACTACGCATCATTCAGAGGTTATTTTGGATTTGAGAATCTGAATAAAGGATTGACTTTATTTCGCCAACTCCCTGTGTACGTAGAGATTATCTACAGATGGGCCCGGTGCCAACTGTGGGACTGCCTGACAGGGACAACCGATCTGAAAACCAGGAGATGCAGCGTTTTCCTATGGAAACGGTATGCAAGCGAACAGCGCGCACAGTCGAGATCTGGCTGAACAGCGCCGACTGCAGCTCGGTGCTTGGGCAGTGTGCCTGACGGCGTGCCTGTGAGCCCCGGCGTCGGAAAAAGGAAAAACCAAAAACAGAACCAGAAAGATCTGGCCACACAAAATACACTGGGAAAATGTCAAAATATCTAGATGTTCAATTTTTTAAAAGAAACAAAGTGAGAAGCCATATTTTCATATTTCTGCACCCTGAGTTGAAAAGATCCCGAAAAGAAGAAACATCCCTTGCAGAACCCACTCCAAAACCCAAAGAAATAAGGAGGCTCAGGTCGCTCTGTCAAGCAAAGCCCTGCTTTCCACCGCGCTGCGCCCCAAAGCCTTGAGTGAAGACTTTCTCTTGTTCCTTCTTGCTCCACAGGAAGGCCACCGGGAAGGCCACCCGGCTGTAGGAGCAGTGGGTGTGAGCTCCCAGGTCAGCAAAGAAGCAGGAGTTCGGAGGAACTAAAACCTGCACACATGCAGGCAGGGCTTGCTCCTTCCTGCCCCTGTCTTGCAAAGCATCGCCCCTCTCCGGCCCCACGGGAGCGCTTACTCAGGCCCACGTCGCCCTCGTCCCGGTCCCGCGGAGCCCGGTGGCAGCACAGCCTGCGGAGGAGGAGGCCCAGATGGCACAGCACGATGAAGGGCGGCGGCAGCCAGGGTTTCTCGTGGTAGGTCATGGTGTAGCGATAGCGGTTGTACTTCCAAAGCTTATTCGAAATGGACTGCATCTCCAGGTAAACGTTGCTGCGCGGTGGAGACAGACAGGGGCGATGTGTTAATGTGGGATTGTGAGCCAGAGTCTGTCTCCCAGCTCTTCTGATGCTTCACCGGACACTCACACCAGTGAGCCAAGGTCCATACACAAATAACAGCCACCGAATTTATAATTCTCCCGCCAAACAAAATACACAAATCACCTTTAATTATAAGCTATGCCAGCCAGGCGTGGTGGCGCACGCCTGTAATCCCAGCACTCAGGAGGCTGAGGCAGGAGGATCGTTTGAAGAGTTCGAGACCAGCCTGGGCTACAAAGTGAGCTCAAGGCCAGCCTGAACTGCAGAGCGAGACCCTGTCTCAAAAAAAAAAAAAAAAAAGACAAAAAAAAAGCTATGCTACACAGAATAACGAGCAGAGGCAGAAATTACTTCGAAAGACAAGGAAATGGAAACCTGTGAGACGCAATGAACAGAAACAGCCCCGCGATCACCTAAGAAACATTTTCCTCCATCATGTGTGGGTCTCAGTGAGCATCATTAATGTTCCCGCAACCTTAGGAAGACAGGCTCTTAAGGTCAAATAGGAGAACTGCTACAACAACTCTAGTTAAAGCACCCAGCCAGAACAGTATCGCTGAGGAAGAGGAAATAGAAAAGAAGAATCAATTCATCCTAAAATAAATCGAGAAGTAGGTTTTCTTGTAGAAGCTCAGTAAATAAGATTAAACTTACAATAAAAGTAACTTCTCGGCAGTCTATTTTGGACTTTCACTTAAATTATATCAGTAAGAAAGTAAATATTGGTATTATAGAACTTAGGATGGGAATTACGGCAGGTGGTCTGGGTATTTAAGAAAATGCACCGTCCTTAGTTACTTCAGCACACAACACATGAGGGAGGGCGACAGAGCATCTTTTGCTTAGACTAACAAAGCTTAGCTGCTTCTGAGAGAGACAGCAGGGTAGACCTGGAGTAGGGGACCGGATTTGCCGCCAACCTAACCTGAGCTATGATAAAGAGAACAAACCGGAGCTATCTAGAAGAAGCCAGCAAAGGATGAGAAGGAAGAGGATGTTTCACACGGCAGTGAGTCAAGGATGGACACACAGAAAACCATGCTAGAACAGTGCGTCTCTAAGCAGGCCCTCCCCGCGACCGTGAATGACAAACCCAGAGCGGTGTGCAGCCGGCCAAGCCCTGCCCTGGTTCTCAGGCACCGTCCCGTTTGAAGGCCACTCGATTGCAGCCTGCCCGCCAGCAGGTGGCCACCGTCACAGCGTGGCTCAGGCTCTTTCTAGTTGGTGCAAAGGATTCAGTCCCAAAAGGCCCCGGATAAAGAGTGAGGCCTGGGATCTCTCAGGGTGTTTGGTTCCCAGCATGGTCCCCTCCTGCAGGAGAGGATGATCTATGCAAGGATTTCTCCACGACTCCAGACACCTTCCTTTTTTTAAATTTCCTTCTTATTAGTATATATTTGTGGTAAGTAATAATTTCACCCAGCCTGGGGAACCAGTACACACGCATGCCACACCCCGATGGTTTGTACTTGCCCTCCCCTCTCTCATCCCACACCCTCTTCCCATCCCCACAAGTCTGCCTCCCTGGTCCTATCATCTGGTGGGATTGTTTTTTTGTTTTTTTGTTTTTTGGTTTTTTTGTCTTTTTGAGACAGGGTCTCGCTACGCAGTTCAGGCTGGCCTGGAGCTCACTTTGTAGCCCAGGCTGGTCTCCAACTCACAACAATCCTCCTACCTCAGCCTCCTGGAGTGCTGGGATTACAAGCATGTGTCACCACGCCCGGCTCTTATCATCTGCTTTATTTTGTTCTTTAAATTATTTATATTTTGAGTTTCTTATATAGGAGAAACCTGGCAATACCTTCCATTTTTTGAGAAATAAAAACCTCACAGTCTCTTAGAATTATTTGAATTTTCAAAAACTGACTAGATCTGATCACCAAAACTATCGTAAGGTCCTAAGCAGAGCTAAGAGAAATGTTAGCTGATGTAATAGGCTTAAAACAATTAGGAAGGGATGCTCTCTTCAACAGCAGCCTTTTGTAAAAGTATCTTGAATTTTTTGTCGACCTCCAGCCCCCTCCTTCTCTACTTTCTTTGATTGTAAGCATTAATGTTCCCTTTCTTATCTTTCTCTCTTCTCTGAGATAATCAGTGAATAAAATACCCCAACAGAGTGGCATAGAAAAGGTTTTTAGAAAGTGTCATCTGCTTTCCCCGGCTTCATTTGATTTCTTTCATCTACTCAATGTGTATTAAACAAATGCTTCAGACATATTTGGGACAAACTTATAAGTAAAACAAAGTAGAAAATTACTTGTACCCCACAAACTCTACTAAAAGACTTCTAGATTTAATAACCAAATTCGGTCTCATAGCTGGATAAAAAGTCAACACTCAAAAATCAATAGTATTCCTGTACACAAATAACAAACTCACAGAGAGAGAAATTAAGGAAACCACGTCCTTCACAATTTCACACAAAAAATGAAATACCTAAGAATCCAATGAAGGAAGTAAAAGAACTTTACACTGAAAACTACAGTACTGATAAAAAGGAGATTGAAGAGGATATCAGAAAATAGAAAGATATCCCTTGTTCTTGGGTAGGAAGAGCCAATATAATGAAAATGACCATACTTCCAAAATTGTTATACAGATTTAATGCAATTCCAATAAAATACCAATACATACTTCACAGAATTAGAGAAAACAATCCTACAGCTCATTTGGAACCAGAAGAGACCTAGAATAGCAAAAGTAATTCTGGACAACAAATGCAAGGCAGAGGGCATCACAATTCCTGACTTGAAATTATACTACAAAGCTACTGTGATAAAAATGGCATGGAACTGGCAAAAAAACAGACCCAAGGATCAATGGAATCAATTAGAAGATGTAGACACAACTGCAAACATACTCATCTAGCTTATCTTTGACAAAGGAGCCAAATACTTTTACTGGAAGAAAGATAGCTTCTTTAATAAATGGGGCTGGAGAAACCAACTTTCCACATGCCAAAGACTAAATCTAGACCCATGTCTATCACCATGCACTAAACTAAAACTGAAAAAGATCAAAGATCAAAATACTAACACAGAAACACTAAATCTGCTAGAAGACAGAATAGGTAGAACCTTCAAGACATAGGTGTAGGCAAAGATTTCATGAACAAAACCCCGATCACACAGGAACTACCACAAAGAGTAAACAACTGGGATCTCATCTCATTAAAAAGCTTTTGCACAGCAAGAGAAACCACCAGGAACAAATTTTTGCCAGCAGTTCCTCAGACAAAGGACTACCATCTAGAATATATAAAGAACTCAAAAAATCAGATGTCCCAAATTTAAAGACCCAATCCAAAAATAGGTCTCTGGGGCTGGGGATTTAGCTCAGCGGCAAAGCGCCTGCCTGGCAAGTGCAAGGTTGTGAGTTCGGTTCCCGTTACCAGAGAAAACCCCCCCCCCAAAAAAATAGGCCTCTGAAATAGGTACTTCTCAGTTGAAGATGGAAAAATGACAAATAAATATATGAAAAAATGTTCAATCACCAGTTATTCAAGAGATGCAAATTAGAACAACACCGAGATTCAATCTCACTCCAGAAAGAAAGAAATCAACCCATAACAAATGCTTGTGGGTTTGTGGGGAAAAAAGAACACTTCTCCACTGTTGGTGGGAATGTAGACTGGGCAACACTGTGGAAATCAGTGTGGAGATTCCTCAAAAAACTAGGATTAGAGGTCTCATTCCACCCAGCTATTTCCCTTCTTGGTGTCTTCCTGAAAAAATTAAAAGCATCATACCACAGCAATATATGCATCCTCATGTTTATAGCAGCACAGTTTGTAATAGCCAAATCTTGAAAACAGCCCAAATGCCCATCAACTGATGAATAGATAAAGAATGTGGGTTTTTTTCTACAATAAAGTACTACTCTACCATAAAAGGATAAGCTTGCAACATTTCTAGCTAAATGGATGCACCTTGAAGACACACTCTGAAGTGAAATAAACCGGACACACGTTTAAATACCACATGGTTTCTCTGATGTGAGAAACTGCAAGTGTAAATAAGGACCAAAATGTGTAATAGATTTTGGGAAATGGGAAGAAAATGTTCAAATGAGAGGGGGAATAAGAAATGGGGGAGGGAAGGGAAAAGAAAAAAGAAATAGAAGGGAAAATGGAACCAAAGCTTTTGTAAATAAGGAGGGGAAGAGGGGCTGAAGGGGGGGATGGGAATGGGAAAAAAAGAACCAAGGTATATCATGTACAGACACAAATTCCCTATGACGAGTGGGATCATTATATAGCTCTGAGGTACAGCGATAAAATAAAGATGGTCTTAAAACAAAGAAAGCGAAGTGGCTTGTCCTTGTGCAGCTTGTGCTGCGGAGCGGAGTCAGGCAACGGAAAACCGTGAAGGGAACAGAAGGTCTGCCTGCACGTCCTGCAGTGAGCGGGAAGCGGGCGGGGAGGAGCACCGGGCGTTCTGCAGATGGCGGGGAAGGGGAGCTGAGTCTCTCACTGGGGTGCTTGGGGCGGACCTAATTTTTAAAAAGGTGTTAGAGCAACGTCTCCACGGTGGCGAGCGTGGCCGCAGGGGACTTGAGAAACCACGGGAAGGCAGGCCACCAGGGCCGCTCAGGGCTCAGGTCACGACTTTGGCCCGGAGGAAAGAGGCAGCGGGAATGAGGCTGGCGCGGGAGTGACATCCGCCGAGGGGTGTTTCCAAGGGTGTGGGTGGACAGCAAAAGCGAAGAGCCAACAACACAAGCAGAGAGTAAATCGGGGGGTCTGTGGCAGCCGCAGGCGGCAAGAAATACTCCGCGGGGGAGGCTGAGTCCCCGCAGCTCAGAGTGACAAGGGGAGAGGCCGAGAGCTGGGAGACTGGGAGCCTGGGGAACGCGCTGCGCTTCCGGCTCTCGAGAGAAGGGTGCAGTCCGAGGACTAAAGCCTAAGGAACGCTGGGCTAGCGGTGTGCGCAGGACTCGTCCCCATGTACATGAAAACACGCATGGTCACGGAAGACAGAATAAATACAGAAGAGCAACGGTTGCGCCCAGAGACACTCGACCGCGACAGTGACCCACATCTGCAGCCAGCGCCGGGCTCGGCTTCGTCCTGGGCGCCCAACTCTCTGCTTCTCACCGCTGCCACCGCACTCTCTGTGAGGTCCCTGCTTCCCCGTGCCCTTACCCCTTCTGCCAGGAGCTTCGTGCCCATGCTTTAAGGCTACCGTGGTAAAACATAGGACACACGGCAGCCAAAGGCCACACGCGTCATATGCTCGCGAGTCCACTCGATATGCCCCTCCCCATTTTTATTTAAATAAAAGAATCATCTTTAATTAAGTCACCTACTTGAAGAATGCGATCAGCAGGTTCACCATGATGATGTACTGCACGAAGAGATAGACGGCCTGCAGGAACGGAGTCAGGAAGGAGCCCGGGGGGCAGGAGGGCTGCTCCTCACAAACTACAAAGGAAGGATTTAGGAGAGTGGGAAATGAGGAACATCACAGTCCCAGGCCCCTGAGCAGACACATAACATGCTAACTTGGCAGAACATCACAAACTTTCCACTCTTCAGCTTCAGCAGGTGAATGAATAAAGAAAATGTGATATTCACACACAGTGGAGTACTACTGTGCCATAAAGAATGATAATCTTGAGTCATTTGCAGGCAAACAGATGCACCTGGAGGCCATAACCTTCAGTGAAATAAATCAGACACACAAGCTTAAATATCATATGGTTTCTCTTACGTGAGGAAGCCAGAGTAAAAATAAAGAGGAGAATAAGACAGATAATAGGAAGTAAGGAGACAGATTGCTCTCACAGGTGAAGGGGATCAAAATGTAGAGAGAGGGGGGAGAGGAAGGGATACGAGAGGACGAAAAGGAATTAGGATGTGTTGTGTACATGCACTGACTCCACACAAAGACTGATCCTTCGTACTGCAAACGTGTGTGGAAACAAGGGTGTCGAGAGAGAGGCCAAGGGGAGGGGAAGGGGATGGAGACGTGTTCTCCACACGAGGAATGGAGACATTATGCGTCACAAACACGAACTAATAAACTAAAACATTCAGCTGGCCATGGTGGCACACGCCTGTAATCCCACGCTAGGGGGGCTGAGGAAGGAGGACTGTTATGAGTTCGAGGCCAGCCTGAACTACATAGCAAGACCCTGTCTAAATAAATGAAAGGGAAATGAGGGGAGGGGAGGGGAGGGAAGGGAAGGGACTCAGTTGGTTACTTTCCTGATTTTCCTTTTTCCCTGAGCATCTATAAAGATTCAATTTCCGCATCATGTCAAAACCCCATGTGTACCATCTATCTCCGAAGCGTAGACCTCCCCATACATCATCCAGTACGGCTCAAACACAACATCTCGAGCAAGTTTCCAAGAAGGAGGCTCCCGCGGCGAAAGGATCGCTTTGCGCGCCACTCCAAAGCTCAGAAGGACGATGGCCATTATGATCACAATGTAGAACATGTTTGCACTCTGCAAAACAGTACCGTGCAACCAGAGTTTTACCACTGACTTGAAATGCAAAGCAAATCAAACTCTCATAACCACCATAACCATACTGATCAATAATAAGACTGGAGTGTGGTATGCACACCTGTAATCCCAGCGCTCTGACAGGCTGAGGTCGGAGCATCTCAAGTTCAAGCCCAGCCTGGGCAATTTAGCAGGACCCTGTCTCAAAATAAAAAAAGGGCTGGGAATGTAGCTCAGTGCAAAAACCCTGGGTTTAACCTAGTACAGAGGACAAGAAAAAAAGACTATCTACTCATTCACTAAAATGTCCTAGTCCACAGACAGCTGGATTTTCTACGGCTGAACTATTTTGTTTGCTCTTTTTTCCTGCACATACATGTTTCAAGCCAATGTGATCTTTGGAAACACATAAATTTGCTGAGACTAAAAAATGTGCACTTCTGTCTTGAAGCAGTCATAAAATGTGAACAGCGGTTGATGACCTAGCATCCAACTTTTCAATAGTTGGACCAGAAATTAGTTTAGGAAAAGAAAAAAATAAATCAAGTATATTCAGATCAGCCCAATGCCTCCTTCTTCCCAGGGTTACTTTCTGGAACTAAGACTCAGAAATTGATCGGTCCCATTTCCTTTCACTTGCTAAACACACATAAGCTCAATCTATCTGAGTGTCTCTACACTTCTTAGCTCGCTTCCACTAGGCTGGGGCCATGGGGCCCATTCCAGTCACTGGGCAGTGAGTTGATAGTTACTTGGGTTCAAAACTCAAAAACCATTGGACTTTCTTCATCATCCTCATTCCCTGCCATGGGAGACCTTAGAAGCCACAAACTGACATGGCTATGTCACAAAATAGAGGGACCCTACATCCCTGAGTCAGGACAGAGCACTCGGTGAACCCTGCTTTAAGGAGAAAAGTCCTGAGGTGCACCAGTTTCCTCAGCATGGTCCACCTGATAAGTACCGATGTTACCAAGGCCAGAGAACACACTTCCGGTTTAAGAGAAAAGGGCAAAGAAGGAAAGTCTGTCTTTGGAGCCCGGTAGCCCTCCCCTCTCTGTCAACCTTCTCTATTTCCCCTTTTCCCTCCCTCTCCAGAACTTGCTGCTTCCCTGCACTGAGACTTCCGGAAGGCAAAGCCATGGGTGGTCTGAAACTGTGCTTCTAGAGGGGTCTCAGGTACTCAAGAACAGTCAGCTCAGAGCACAGTAGGTGAGGGGACAGGCAGGGACATGCTGCACAGCAAGCTCAGGGGACAGGTGAAGCCAGCTGGCCCACCTATGGTCTGGGCTTCCCTGCACTGCCCTGGAAAAATTTACATCGCCTCCACCTTTCTTCATGAAAATATTTCCTAAAGCTGTGACAGAGTTCAGTGATCAAGACATCCAAAGGACTTAGCGAGTGTGTGGTCCACAGCAAGCACTGTGTAACACTGCGGTGAGGAAAGCAAGCCAGTGAGTAATAATAAGGGACATTTTCGCAGAGAATACTAGTATTGGTTACAGATTCACATAAATCTAGCGCTGGGGAACTCTGTCCCGGGACTAACTGAACTCAAATCTGCATCGTCTGGGCCTAACCAGTGGGGTAAGCTGAGTATCCAGATTAAGTGCCCAGTCTGCTACCCAGGGACATCTGTTAAACAGAAGTCTGCAGCTACACAGGAAGCAGTGATGAGAAGGTCTCGCTGTCTGTGCTTTTAGAAATAACTCCACAAGGCAAAGTGTTACATGGGAACCGTGAAATCAGGTAAAACCCCTCAAGAGGAGCGCTCACATCTGAAGCCAGCCTGACTTACCATCTTGGCAATCATAGTGACATAGGGACCTGCATGTTGATTCACCGCGAAGAAGTCCATGAGCCGGGAGAACCAGAAAATGGTGTCTATGCAGTAGATCAGCCTCCCCACTGTGTAAAAAGGAGGGTCACCCCACCGGAGGCAAAAACCAACTGAAAACAGACCAATGGCCACAGTTTCCATTAGGTTCCAGTACTCACTCATCCACACTTTCACCTTTTGAGTAAACTTCTCCGGCTCTGAAATACAGATCTAAAAGAAGAAAGAGAGAAACTTCACAGAATGGAGTTCTGGTTCAGAGGTAATACAGTCTGCTTAGATCAGACAAGAAATGAAAAAAACGAAGAATGTGGTAGCGGGCCTGACACAGCATTGCATTACCTGGCACGCTCCCAAGCGGGCGGGGAAGAGGTGCCAATGACCCAAGAATTCCAGCACCCTTACCTCCTTAGTACACCCCCTGATCCTTTTAAAGTCTGATCTAAAACACCACACAGAACTGAGACTTCAGTTACCCTCCGAACTGAATTCTTTAAATAATCATATTTCATGCCTATTGGTTACAATAATAAAAATTAAGCCATTCATACTGGAGAGTCACTTGAAAACTCAACTATAATTTTTCTGAAAAACTAAAGTGCTTTTCCTAGCTCTCACTAATCCTAAATTGACCTGAAGAAGTAGCGAGACATTTAAAAGCCAGTACTGCAATGGATCTGCGCAGCAAGTGCACAAGTCCGTCTCACGAGGCCCGGCAGACTATGCTGAAGCCAAGGACCCTTGTGTGTCCTCCTACAACTGCTACCCAGTGAGGTGCCGACAAGCTGGAGCTCACTGCTGTGAGAAAGTACCAAGGAAATACTATATCAGGCAAAACCTACATGTAAGTAGACCTGCCTCCATGAAGTGTATAAAATGGAGAGCTCAGATAACATTATCTCTTGAATTATTTTCTGCAGTCTGTAAACTGCATATAGGTAACTAGCAAGTAATGTACATATTTTTACTAAGAATGCATTTATTTATATATAATGCAGTCAAATTTTATATGTCTAGGACAAAATGTATGTGAATGCATGTTGTCTTTGTGTTGTTTGTTTTTGTCTTCATTGTTGTTGCTTTGTTATTTTTATCACTTTAAAAGAAAAAATACATATACACTGATGTCTAAGTCTTAGGTTAAAACTATTTGTGAATGTAGTTACAATAGCATTAGAAAATTAACTCAACCTAGAAATTAAAATTTTGTTTGGCTTTGTTTCTTGGACTACAGTTTTAGCTTCGGTTTTCAAGATTGCATGCTTTCAACACCATGCATTCTTTCCTTATCTATCATGTAACACTGGCTATTTATGTGCCACTCTGTGCAGTGAAATTCCTAATACACAGATAACACTAGGCCATAAAAATCAGTCCTACAAAAAAAGCCACTTGATGGTAATCAAATAGTTGGAGAGTTCAATGACCATCGCTACAACTGTAGGGCTGATAAGCATACTAAGATGTCCGCTTCAAAGATAATGCCTTTCAAAGTCCAATGCCGGGCTGGGGATTTAGCTCAGCGGCAAAGCGCCTGCCTGGCAAGCGCAACGTCGTGAGTTCGGTTCCCGGTAACGGAGAAAAAAAAAACAAAAAAAAAAAACAAAGTCCAATGCCAGCGTAAAGTATGTGGCAAGAATAAAGGGTTGAAATCAGGAATTTTCCCCTAGATATCTTTTCTATCATCTGCCAGTCAGGACTGGCATTTTCTCTCTCCTTCTCAGCCTTGCTGCCCCGTCTCATCAGCAGGGACAAGAACACTTCTTCCCTCCAAAGGGTTGCAGAAGGCAAAGGCAGAAGAGAAACTCACCTCCCTGGCTTTCTCAATAGCACTGGAGAAGATGTAAGTGATAACAAGCCACTCTTGCACGCTAGGTTGGGGCGGCATCTCCACCAACACAGTGTAAGTGAACAGCATGAGGAATGCCAAGTATGCCATCTGTGAGGGGACACACACGCCCTGGATGTGAGTGAAGGGAGACACAGGGGGCCAAGGAGATGCAGACAGAACCGTGAAGAAACACAGACATGAATTTCAGCATGATAACCCGAGAATAACACTAGGACCCACTTGTGACTGTTGATGACCTGGTATCCAAGCAAGCACAAGAATCTACAGTTTTCTGGTCTAGGCATTTGGTGACAAGCATGAAAATAAGTTCTCAGATGCATGGGAGGAGACCCTGTCTCCAGCTGCTACCTGCTGACCGGCATTCCCAGGGCCCTGCACATCACAGCGTGGGCAACGGCAGCTGACAGCAAGCCGGGGAGAGGCACACACCCGCGCCCAGCTGGAACACACACATCTTGGGTGCCAGCGTGACAGAGGTGGTGCAGTGGATGCGTCTTTCCAAACGTGATGAACTGTGACATGTACTGCTGCCCTGAGTTTTATTTTATATTGATTTAAATATTTACCCAACCTTAGCTCTTGTATTTGAGGAATGATTATGAATATTTTTATTATCAACACTCAGCCGGACACATGATAGCCATTCCCCAAATGCTTAATTGCTAACTGTATACATTATTACTAAACTCTAATCTATCCAAAGAATTACAACATATCTGCAGAGTGACTAATAGCTTACAGTCTTATCTAATACTCTTATTTTCTTAAGATACATTCCCTTGTAGCTGGGCACACACATTTAAAACTAAGATAAACATTACCAGATTATCCAGCTGAAAAGTCTTAGCAGTTTACACTGTCACCACCTATGTATGGACCGTGCAGTCCTGTACACAGCTGTGGGGAGGACACACAGCGCCCACTGGTCAGTCCTTACACTGGAGAATGATGGAGGTGTAGCAAGAGTAATGTGTGTGCTCATTCTCACAAGAAACAGTTTAACTTCATCCCTATTTTTCGTCTCCTTTTGAATTCTAAGTTAGTAAGTCTCTTTCTAAGTTGAGTTCTGCACAAAAAAAGTAAGGAGTGACTTGTTTGAGTCTCTGAGTATACTAGAATATTTATAAGTGACATCTGGGGTGGTCCCAGCAGGTATTACTGCCTCTGAGTAACAAAGCAAAAGACAAGCATTTACAAAAAGTTAAGATCACACCCATTAATTCTGCCCTTCACTCAGTCTGTGTCCCAGAGCCTCAGTATGTGTCTGTGTTTGTCTGTTTTCTCAGTGCTTTGATGGAACCCAGGCCACATGCAGGCGCCACTAGTCTCTCTCTCACTGAGCTACAACCCCAGCCCACAGGTTTGGAGTCGTTTTTGATGACCCCTTAAGGACATAATTGAAGTAAACTGTTTTACCAAGTCATCGGCTTACATTTTTGTCCTTGGTTCCATGATGATCTGATAATCGATTCCTTAACTTTTACACTGAGGTGTAGCTTAAAATCTTTATCCTTTCATCTTTATTTCTTTCATTATTCATATTTTATTCTCCTGACTTATACTGGATGATTTATAAGCAGGAAGTGTCTACTCAAATGTAAGCTGCCAGAAAACAGCATCTACGCTCAATGATCTCTGCTCCCCAGCCCTGGTGCCCGGCACTATGGGTTAGCAAGATCGGTAAGCTTTCAGCAAAACCTAGCTGAATAGTCTGGCCCTTATGTTGCCTTCTGCCTTCACACTTTCTAATAGACAGAATATATCACTCTGTGGCGAGGACAGATTTACAAAAGGCTGGACGTGTACTTAGTAAATAGATGTTCAGCTTGAAAAGCAGCACACGCTCCTCTAATTGAGAAGAGACTTCCTGCTAGTTCAGTCCATCTGCTCATTAGTCCAAAGTGACAATATACACAGCCATAAGATCCAAAGTATTTACATCTAGGTAAGATAGGCTGCCCTGAACAGTCTGCTTGGTAGTATTGCTTCTAACTCTTTGTTTCTTTCCAATCTTAAAAATCTGACCCGATAATGTTTACATTTTTGCTTTTTTATCATAGCTCCAGTGCCCAGTGTCAGCTGTGCTGACTGCTAGCACTCCAAGAGGGGAGGCAGTGCTGTTCTCAAATTCCCAAAGCAGGAGAACGCTGCTCTAACTCCCCTCATCTTCCTCCAACCCACTTCCCTGTCTACTGTCTCATCCTCCCACCAATCTATACAACATTTCTATATTTTTACTGCAAGTTGGCAAACCAAGCATATCATTATCAGTATTCTCATTAGCCAATAACTCTCATTAATACAAAATGCACTGCTGCAACGAGACCAACCGTGTAAAACCAAAACTTGACAATAGGGGCGCTGTAGAACTCGTACACTTTCCTGGTCCACAGAAGGCTTTGGGGCCCATTCCTGAGATCAAAGTGCTTGCTTTCATCCAGTGTCTCATCAGGGCCCCTTTCCAAATCACAGTCTTTCTGTAAAACAAATGAACAAGCAATTTGTAGGGATGTAGCTCCGTGGAAGAGCTCTTCCTCTGCTTATATGAGATCTTGGGTTTGATCCCCATAACCTCCACCAAAGTAACAGTGACAATTATGACATGATGATAAAGAATCATTTCTGGTCAGTGGCTTAATTCAAATGTTGACTGGTGCAGACATCCAGACCGTAATAAATGACACATTATAAATTAACAGGGCACACAGCTTCCAAATTAGAGTCTTAGACCTGAAGGGAGAGAAAACTGCATTATTGCACAAATCTTTGACCAAGGGAGAAACATAGGATATGTCTGAAATGCAAGCTGAATCTCCACTAATGAAGCCCAAAGTAAGAATAGTTCTGAGGAATTAAAATCAGTTGCTACGCCTGCTTGGATTAATCTCATTTAGTAGTAATTTTCGAACCTAAGAATAATCATAAAATCCCCATGAAATCACAAATGGATGACACATGTATGCCCTTCATATAAGACAACAGAATGGATGCATCGATGAAGCCTCTTTTCTGAGTCGTAGGAAAGTCAGGTACAGTGTTCACTTTAGGGTTCTGGCCTCACTTATTTAAAGTGTCTTTGCCTGGAGTTCAAGGGCTTGCTGAGCTTTCAGAGTTTCTTGAACACCCTGCAACCATATCCAAGCATTTGCGTTGCACGTGCATTCTTCCAGGGAAAGATTTAACTCTTTCTCATCAGTTTTTTGGAAACAGGTGTCAGCCCAAAGGTAAAGCCTAACCCTTGCAGGGGACAAGCAGTGAGCACCTGCGATGGCAGAGGTCACCTGAGAAGCACACACGATGCCTACGCAGGACAGGCCTTCAACGGAGAGGCGAGGAGAGGAGAGAAGAGGAGAGGAGAGGAGAGGAGAGGAGAGGAGAGGAGAGGAGAGGAGAGGAGAGGAGAGGAGAGGAGAGGAGAACAAAAGTGCTTATAGTCCAGTTGCCTTTGAGAGCAGAAACAAGAGGAGATGAGGCAGGCAAACAAAAAAAAAAAAAAAGAGAGACACGTGATCCTACTTTGTAAGGCTTTAATTGTCATTGCATGTATTTTACAACTGTAAGATAATATGGAAAGAAAAGAACATTCTGTGCCATCTCTCACACCAGACCATTTCTTCAGTCTTGTCACAAAAGCTCCAACTCTATGGCAGACCCGGAAGATTAACAAGATTTGTCAAGCCAGGGAATGAATCAAATTTTGTTTGAATTGTTTGTATAGCTGCAGGAAAACATGTTTTGTAGGCACTAGACATCTGGCTGGGTTACTTTGCTGACTGATCTATTGTTCAGTTTACTTGGCACCGTGTGTTTGAGATAGTGACTCAGAGTTATAAGAACTGATCTGGTTCCAAACGGGTTTGAACCAGCCTGGAACTACAGTGGCTTGAAAACAATGTGAAAGTCACCATGTACTGGTGACTTACCACTGGTGTCAGTACCTCTTCAGAAAGACCCTAGAAATCAATTTAAATAATTAACTTGTTAGCACACAACTTGTTATTTTTTCTAAGAGTGCTTCCTGGGGTCTCAATTACTCCTCATACTTTGGAACAGATGATACAGGATATAAAGTTCTAACTGAGTCTGTCTTTCAGTTGAATTAGAAGACAACTGCTGCCAGCAAGGCCATGTGAAAATATTAATTCAGATTCAGGCTTTTTTCTTCCTTAGAAGAAGGTAAAGATAAAAACGTTTTGCTTAGCTTACTGTTACTCCATTCAAATCTCTCCTCCTCCCTTCTCTAACAGTAATGAGATGCCAGCAAATACACAGAATAAAATATAACTAAAATGATCAACCCGAACGCTCTGAGAGATCTCATTGTGCAACTTTCCCAGCATTTTCCATTAGGTTTAGCAGAAAATGTCTAACAGAAAGCCCATCCCTGCTTGTCCACACATTCCCATGTCCCTCCAAGACGGCCCTGCTGTGCCCACCAGCTCAGTCATACTCGCCGTCTCCTCACCCACATCCTGTTTCCATCGATGCATCACTGAAAATCTGTTGCTTTCTCTCCATGTCGCTGCTGACCCTGGCTGATGCCCTCATTACTACTCACCTGCACGGTTACTATGGCTCCCACCCTCGCCTCCCAGCCGTCTTCTTGCCAACCTCTCTTCTGCCCTGGAGGCAAAAATCAATTTCCTACTAGTCAAATCACCTGGCCACACATTTCTTGCTTTTCCGCTGAATCTTTCATAAGATGCACAGAAGTCTTTCTCAGCCTCCTCTCCAAGCCATGCTCGCAAACACTGGCTCCCTAGCTGGACAAACCATGCCCTTGTGAAGCTCTGCCCTGCCCCTTATTTCCTTCCTCTGGGCGCCTACGTACAGCTTTCTTCCACCAGAAGGCCCTCAAGTCACAGCTCACACAGCACCGCCAGCACGAGGTGGTCACAGGTCCCTAGTTCTCACCTCCTGGCCCTGCTGAGGAGAATCCCCTTCTCCCATCTGTTAGCCCATTCTGCCATCTTCCACAATTCGTTCCTAGGACAGCTCAGACCTCACATACCTCGCTTCTAAAGGCTAGCAGCTAGGAAGATTTAAACCTCCCTTGGCAGTTATTTTGCCTACAGAAAGCTTAAGAAGGTAAGGCGTTTTAGCTGAGTACAGTGGTGCAAACCTATATCCCCAGCAACTCCCAAGGCTGAGGCAGGAAGATCACTTGTATCCAGGAGGCCGTGACTATTCTGAGCAGCACAGCAAGACCACATCACATAAAAAAGGGGTTTTATAAAACCTCACAGAGCCTGTGCAGTACCTGACTCTACACAGCTTTAGCTCAAGAACCCTCTCTTATTACCAGAAGTGGCCTCACCAAACACAGAGCACAAAGAAACTAATAAAGCATCTGCGTTTTACCTGCCTCCAGTTTTCTCCCGTGACCCATACTGCAACTTATGTTCCTCAATGAATCCACCCCACTGACGTAATTGGCATTACGCAATTGTACAAACTCACCAAAGTGCCACCTCAGCCACCTCCCGCTGCCCGGCAAGCTTCTAAAAATAAATCAGCTAATAGGTAATTGTTGTTTAAGTTAAATTCAAAGGCTAAAACCATTCCTAACAGAATGGGCTGGAAAAGCTTTTGCAATACATGTTTTAAATGGAATTAGAGTATCTGTGGATATTCTGCCTGACAATGAGCCCCGCAGGGCAGAGGGCACACCTGCCTCAGGTCACCTTATCCCCTACACCTTCTGTCTTTGGGACACAAAAGGAGGGGACTGAATGTTCACTGAATTGATCAACTGATATGGCCGGATCCAAACCATCCCGGTGGGAGATGGCTAGAACAGGACCACAGTACTGCAACCAAAATGTAATTTTTTCAGGGAATTGTGAGAACTTAACACCTTTTTCTAATGTTAAGAGCATACTTAATTGCCATTCTGAAGAGGAATTCTTTCTCTGGATCTCTCCTTTGAAAAGGATTGCTGAGTGCAATGCAGCAGCTCTCTGCAATTCCCTAAGTGTTTGAAAATCCAGGCACAGCAAGGTACTATTTGCTATGGCCCAGACACAACTACCAGCAGATTTAGGTATTTGTTTGTAAACAGATAAATGAGAGATAAGCAGCTTTCTCCATTGCTCACTTCAACAACCAAACTGAGTCAAATGGGAAGAATTAAATAGGCAGAAAGCCACACAGAAATGATGCAAGCTTAGCAAAGCTATCTTCTAACTGGCACAGCCACAAATGTGACATTTTAACTGGCCCAGATGGGCAACAGATAACTTCTGACACATTCTACAGATTTTAGAGCATTCCTGCCCTCTTGGATTCTGAGACCTCCAATATGGAAATATCAGACAAAAAGAAGGAAGGAGGGAAGGGAAGAGGAAAAGAGGAGGGGCAGGAGGGAGAGAGGGAGAAAGGCCGGCATACCCAAATAGGAGTGATAATTCAAACATTTAACAACTGATCTGGCAGAGACATTAACCAGTCAGAACAGGTACTCAACCAATCACCAACAGATGCCAGCCATAACACACTATTCTGACTCGGTTCATTAGTATTTACTGAATATGTCTTTAAGGTTTATAATAAATGCCCCATAAATCCACAAGCACATTAAGACAGTATGCTAAAGATGCTTCATTCAAGGGTAAGTAACAGGCAAGAGGCTACCCACACCTCACCGTGGAGACATGACCATCTTATAAGCTGTGATCCAAATGGGGACAGATAAAATTAAAAAAAAAAAAAAAATACTCACAGCACATTAGACACTTTGCAGTGAAGACAGTCTGTTCTGGAGTGGCTCAAGTTATCCATGAGACCACACACCCGGAACTCACATAAAACTACACAGAACCACTAGACAGCATACAAGAAGCTTGTGGAGTGACAGGGTGGAATCAGCACAAAGTCTACACATGCACATTTATAAATAAGGATTTTAGGAATATGAAGCATTGCTCATCACTGCTTGAGGTTAGAAATCTATTTATTCCTCCACTCACAGTGAAAAATAAAACTTCAGACAGCTGTCAATATCATAAAGTCTTTGGTTTTTATCTTTGAAGTGGAATAGTTCTCTTACTGATATATGCTGAGTCATTAGGCAGAGGAGAAGGCAATGCTTAGGTGATGAGTCAGAGGTTTCTGAATCATGTGCAACACCAGACACATCACTGGATGGAAACAGTGGCAACAGACATTTTTAGATATCACTATATAAATAAACTTCAGGGCTGTGTGTGTTTGTGTACAGTCAATACCACGAAAGCTCAATTTACTATGATATTGCACTAACCGTATAAGCATTTTCTTTGGTACTGCTGGCGTTCTGGTCACTGTAATACCATGTAAACTGGAAATCCTGGGACTGGGGAACATGTGACATCTCAGCTTTGCTTTTAAATTCCAATGTCAAGATGGTGGGCGGTAAAAGAATACTTATGATGATCTGTCAAAGAAAATAGATAAACTAAGTAGTAGAAAATCCACAAGATACATGCACTATTCAAATAAGAAAACTAAGAATTTAAGCGCATGTAAAAATATCACAGTCAGGCCTGGCTGTGGCGCATGCCTATAATCCCAGCCCTCAGGAGGCTGTGGCAAGAGGATCCATGAGGCCAACGTGGGCTATCGGGTGAGTCCAGGCCAGTCTGAACTACATAGAGAGATGCTGTCTCAAAAAAAAATTCATTCTCCATTCAATTTATATCTTGATTCTGTATATAATTTTTGACCCAGCAATTCTGTTCTTATGTGTCTCCCTCAGAAATACCTATTGGTACAGGCATATGTAGATAAGGATGTCCACTGCAAAGTTATTTGCAAAAGCAAAAACCTAGTGGTAACCTAAGCACCAGGCATGGTGGTGCAATGTGCACTCCTTTAACTCTGACACTAAAGTGGTTAACGTAAAAGGATTGTGAGTTCGAGGCTAGTTTGGGCTGCATAATGAGACCTTGTCTCAAAAAACCAAAACCAAAACCAAAGCCAAACCAACATAAAACAAAAAACTGAGTGACAACTTATAACTTAAATCTACCTATATAAGGATAGCTGGTAAGGAACAACCTAACAAAGGAATATAAATGCAATGCTCAATATAATGAAAAGTTATCCATACAACAGTGAGCTTAAAAAAGTAAACTATAGAACAATACATAGCCAGGCATGATCTATGCCTGTAATCCTAGCAGTTGGGAGGCTGAGGCAGGAGGATTGCCATGAGTTTGAGACCAGCCTGGGCTATCTAGTGAGTTCAAGGCCATCCTTAACTGTATAGTGAAACCCTGTCTCAAAAAACAAAAAAAAACCCAATAAATGTAGAGAAAGTAGTTCCATTTTTATAAAAAAAATTTAGTTTTTAAAGATATGCATCTAAAATTTTAAAATATATATAGCACAAGGTTTTAATAATTTTAAAAGTTGTTAAGTAGATATTACCACATAAAACATATTAAAATTAGGGGCTGGGGATTTAGCTCAGCAGCAAAAGCGCCTGCCTGGCAAGCGCAAGGTCGTGAGTTCGGTTCCCGGTACCGGAGAAAACCACCCCCCCCCCAAAAAAAAAAACATATTAAAATTTATTCATAGTATATGCTTATTAGGATTCTAAGCCAGATTTGTGGCACACACCTGTAATCCTAGCACTCTGGGAGGCAAAGGTAGAAGAGTGCAAGTTTGAGTTCATCTTTTGCAATTTAGCAAGACCTCATCTCAAAATAAAAAATTAAGCTGAGGATACAGCTCAGGGCAAAGGTCCTGGGTTGAAGCCCCAGTACCATAAAAAATAATAATAATAATAATAATAAATTCAAAGACTATAAAAGTATCAAGTTAGAACCACCTCCAATCACGCACAAAGGCTTTGCTAATAAGACCCAAAGAAAGCATAGATCCAAACATCCACAACTTTTTTATTACATTGCTCTCATTTGTGAATTATTAACATCCTTTTCAAAATAATTTTAACATTCAACTTATATGGCCTCTTAAGGTGATAGTTTAGAAGATTTATTAAATCAGCTTGCTTAATACTCCCTCCTTCGAGCTAAAATTAAGTCTCAGTATTCTGAGATTTACTGAACAAAAGTAATATTAAACCAGTCAATCATGATTACACAAACCAGTCACATCCCTGTCAATCTTTCCTTTGCTTGTTTTTCATAGTGAAATGATCTCTCGTTGTTTTGTTTATAGGCTGACCTCCTGCAAAGACTCTCTGGACTTTCTCTAATTCTGACACCAGCTTGTTCATGTGTTTGTTTCATGTGCAGATGTAGAACCCAAAATATACAGACCTCTAGGTCTGGAAAACAACCCTAGTTACCATGCTCGGTGGTAACTTACAAGGATTGTTTCCTAACCGGCTCCCTGAAGAAGCCTCTGTTGCCCTTGTCCACTACAGGACAATTGTGAAATAGTACTTGCAAAGTATTTGTGAAATAGTACTGAGTAATATCAGTATCAATGATATCAGTATCCATTTCCAAAAGACAGGTTGGAGTCTACACACTAAAAGCATTGAAAAAAGTTTCCCATTCACATAAGGCCATATCGTATTCCTCCAGTCTCATCCATGTGGAATGAGTCTAAGCAGGACAGCTTACAATGATTTGCAAATCTATCCCTAAAATACACAAGCTAGGGCTGGGGATTAACTCAGCAGCACAGCACCTGCCTGGCAAGCGCCACATCGTGAGTTGGATTCCCGGTACCGGAAAAAAACAAAACAAACAAACAAACAAAAAAAGCCTCAGTTCCCTAAAATACACAAGCTAGGGCTGGGGATTAACTCAGCAGCACAGCACCTGCCTGGCAAGCGCCACATCGTGAGTTGGATTCCCGGTACCGGAAAAAAACAAAACAAACAAACAAACAAAAAAAGCCTCAGTTCCCTAAAATACACAAGCTAAGCACAGATCAACTAGGTTCTAGACACTAGAGAATAATGATTTACTGCAGCTCAGAGACTTTATTAACTCAGTGTAGGTTTTGGGGCAAAACATTTCATCTTACTCCAACTAAGTTTCATTTTTTGGTATGAATTAAGAAAAATTAATTAGGTTCTCAGTAACTAAAAGTTTAGTAAACTGAGGTATGCACAGGAAACAGCTATGAGAACAATTATTTCTCAAACTATCAGTTTTGTAAACCCCGCTTTTCTCCCTGAATATCTAAGCAGAGTAGCTGCCAGAGGGGACCCCCTTATACATCTGCTTTACCACCTCTAAGGCTAAAGTCAAAGCAGGTCAAGCGGAACTTGCAGAAACAAACTCTGCCTTTGATATACCACTAAACAGCGCTTCACTGACACCTCTCTCATTTCTGTAATCTGCATCCTCCAAAATATGCATGTTAGAGCAGACATTCTATGTGTGATACATCCTATTTTTAAGGAAGAATTACATTATGTAGTCTTACATGACTCTTAATAATTTTCATACCTGATCCCTCTTTTTCACTTTCATAAGCATATGTATTTCTTCCTTTTAAATTTTTATTAGTATATATTAGTGAAACACAATGAATATATTCATCATAGAGTACTGGCACACACATATTGTGTCTTCATTCTTTTTGCTTCTTTTTACTCTCTTCTCCCCTGGCCTCTTCCCGTTCCTAAATCCCCTTCCTTCCTCTATAAAGTCACTTTCCCAGTTTCCTATCATCTTTCTTTTATTTTGTTTTGTAAATTATTTTTATTTGGGAGCCTGGTGTGGATGGTACAACCTGTAGACTTAGTACTAGGTAGGCTGAAGCAGGAAGATGGCTGCTAGTTCAAGGCTACCCTGGGTTACATAGTGAGTTCAAAGCTAGCACAAACAGCAAAGTAAGACCCTGTCTCAAAGCAACAACAATAAATAAAGAAATATTTTAGGTTTCTCATATGAGAAGCTATTATAAGCATATATACTTCTTAAGGTTGAACACAAGTTAACACTTTCAGGGTAGGTTTGATATCAAAGATAAATGTCCTCCCCAGGTAATTCAATCACTCTTGCTAATTTAAGATATGGAAAGAGCTAAGAATTTGAGATGATCAGTGGCTTGAACACATGCTTAGGGGCAACCTTACAAAATACCCACTTATTCCCTGAAACAACATACTGGGTGAGCAGAACAAAAGATAATGCTAAATATGTTTAGTTTACTGCCTGTTGGTATTATGGTTTTTTTGGGTTTTTTTGTTTGTTTGTTTGTTTGTTTGTTTTGGTGCTGGGGATTGAACCCAGAGCCCTATGAATCTGTAGTATGCACCCGACCTGTGAGACATACATGCCTGTCCTCGGTTTGAACTCTTGAGCTGAGAACAATCTCACTAAAAAATTGAGTCTCATTTACTCAAAACTATCAGAGACCCTGGCACGCTGTCATAACAGAATGCTATGCATGCTTTTCAGTTCTTCTAACCACTTTCACAAACATGAGCATGTCTTTGCCATGGACTCAGAACAGAGGTACAACTATTCCCATTTTTGAAAAGTAACATGGCAGGGCTGGGGATTTAGCTCAGCGGCAAAGCGCCTGCCTGGCAAGCGCAAGGTCATGAGTTCGGTTCCTGGTACCGGAGAAAAACAAAAAAACAAAAAAAAAGTAACATTGCAATGAGAATTAGAGTGGTCTTTGGATGCTCCTCTGGGACTCTCCCATCTCATCTGTGAGGAGATATTCATTGGTTTTCCCAAGGTTATCCTGCTGGAACAAGTTGTTAAGAATGGCGCGCAGGAGTGCACAGACCTTCAGTTACCTAACATGAACCTCCACAGCACGAGCACATTTACCTTCAACCAGGAGTTCTTCCTCATCTTCAGACGCCCCACCCACATGTCTGTCAGCAGCATTTGGGTGCAAGAGTGCGAGACGAAAGGGTGCAGCCCTCCAGACGCTGCCAACTTCAGGCAGGTGGAATTGCTCCAGTTCTTGAGTTCGTACGTCAAGAGCTTCATGGCCATGGGCTCATTCTGCTTAAATGCCTTCTCCAGCACATCCAGGGCCAGCTGGCCAAACTGCCTGTAATGAGCAGTTGGGAATGGAAAATACCTCGGCAGGGAAGGAGCCCCAGAAACGTTCTAAATCATTGAACACAAGACTCAGAAAATGCCAGTTAATCTGGCTTGAAAAAAAAAAAAAAAGGCAATCCAAAAATCTCAGTCTGGGCTTGGGGATACGGCTCAGCAGCACAGCACCTGTCTGGCAAGTGCAAGGTCCTGAGTTCAATTACCTGTACCAAAAAAAAATCTCAATCTGCAGAAGCTAAAAGGGTAGTGTATCAACAAAGTGATTTTCTTCCCTTTCACGGGGGAACACAGCTGGGATGTTTACGCTGCAGCACACAGAACATAGCTCACACCCAAGCTACCTGTCAGAATTCATCACACACCACAGCTGTTTCCTTCTAAGAAAAGTTGTTGGGTCTTTGTTTTTTTCTTCATATTTTACAAAATGCCATGATAGTTTAAAAAATTATATCCAGAGAGACACCCTCAGGAAATTTCCCATGAGGTTGTCTCCTCTGAACCAGTTTTCATCCTTGGGATATTTTTCAAAATTGATATTATAAATTCGCTTCCATCATCTCTAAGCTTCTTTCCTTCTCTCACTACCATAACCCTATACCAATCAAAAAGCCAAAGTACAGTACTTCTGACTTTCCCATCTGCTACCATTACTCTGTAGTTCTTTAATATAATGCACAGATTTGTTTTCCCAACCTGAGAGGTACTTTTGTTGTTTTTTTCTGAGAGATACTTAAGGCAAAAAGAACATCTTAATTTAACTTAAGATCTAAGAATTTCAGAGTTGGAGGGACTTTCAACATCATTCATCCCGAAATCATTCACTATAGATAAGAAACTAAAGTCTCATCACTTCTCGGCCTTTTGGCTAAAATCAAACTAAAGCCCAGAAATGTGGTCAGCTAGTCAGCTGGACTTGTCAGGAGTCAGCTGGACTTAGGACCAAGCTCTCCTGATCTGAAGTCCTCTCTCTTATATTCCACAAAGTTCCTTAAAATCCCTTTGATAGAACAGTCCATGAAATGCACTTTGTGACACTAAGTGCTAGGAGTCACCTTGACTGCCTGGATGAGGGGCTGTCTAGAAATGTCCTAAAGCATTCAGGGTGTGTGTGTGGAAGTTAGCATGGAAACCTGAGTGGCCTGAGGGGGGATCCAAGAACAACACAAACAGCCAATCAGTCTTTGCCCCTCAAGAGCTGGAAGATGCTTATTTCCTGCATTGAACATCAAAAGTTCTCTGGGAACTCTCCCAGCTCATCTGTGAGGAGATATTCCAAGGTCTCCAGCTTTTGGATTCCAAGACTTATAGCAGCAGCAGCCTCACCTGGCTTACCAGCTGCCATCTTGAACTAAGAGTTATACTACTGAATGTCCTGGTTCTGAGGTCTTTAAATTTGGCCTGAGCCATGCTGCCATCATCTAAGGGTCTCCAGCCTTCGGGCAGCCTGTCCAGGGACTACTCAGTCACAATAACCACAAAATCAGCTCCCTAGTGAATCCCCTCTCATGCATGCATCTGCATATACCTACACAGGGCTATCAGCAAGTACTGACCTCACATATTCTAGGGTGTGGGAGATAAACATGTCTAAACGTGCCAACAATAGCTCTTACTTGGAGTAATTTTTCAACTCTTCTGAGGTGTCATCCACCATGTTGCTCTCCTTAGCCTCGTGGGCCATCGCTCGGTAGAGGATACAAGCAATCACAGCCTTTACCGTGGCCTCCGCTCCGTGCTGCCAAAAGAACATAGCCATCTTCTGCCTCTTCATTAGCACAGCCCAAACCAACAGGTCATTGTACGGGTAAGTAAAGCCAGTGGACTCAAGGTCATCTATCATTTCTTGTCTTTCTTTTGACTTGTGCCTTGATTTATGAGGGATTCCAGACTTTTCCTGTTGAAATGCAAAATAGCAATAAGCTTCAAATACTCAGGTACATGACATTTTACCTAATATAACACATGTGGCAAGTAACCTAGAGATAGTTTGAAAAATCACTACTAAAAAGAGATGAAAATGTCAGCAGGACTTATAAACTAGGAAGCAAAATTTAAATTTGTTATGACAATCTATTTCCTATTGTAATTCATAGATCTAGATACCTGTAATACCTGAGAATTAATTTAATTAATTAAATTAATTTAGCACAACTCCAGTCAGTATTGCTTTGGGACACACCCAGTAACTATATGAAAGACAACTTTTGATTTCTCAAGGCAATGGGTTCAAGTAGTACATTGAATAAATGAGAATTTTCTTTTTAATCTCTAACCTCCCCTCAGCGAAGAGATTCATCATCTTCTCCCTGGAAGAAATGTCACTAGTGTTGTCAATACACATCCAACTACACTGGTTTGATATTTCCTTTCTTCTATTTCTCTAGTGAGGCCGATAATAATGAAGCGTTCTCTCCCTGGTAAGCTCAGCCTTTACAGCTCATTGCAGATTCCACTCTAAGCCCGTGTGCTGTGCATCACTTCTATGTTTGTGGTTTGGTCTCCTTCACACTGCACTGTGCTATGACCTTGGGGGAAAGGGGACCACTTCTCAGTCATCGTATCTGTCCCTACCTACCCGCCTCCCAAATTCAACGAAGTACTTGCTATAATGCCTGAAAAATAATAAAATTTCAGTAATTACTCTGTGTCATTGGGGGGATCACAGCAAAATAGCTGTAATGTATTTTCTCAACTTCCATAAATAAAGGGAATCTATGTTCATTCATGATGGCCAAGGATGACCAGATATCTTTTCATCCCAGGATCCACAGAAAGCAAACCTTTCTCAGCCAACCTGGTAACTACTTAGTAAATGGAAACTCTTAGGCAAAAGCATTCATCCCCAGAAGAAAGGGGGACTGAGGGAGTAAGGAGGAAGAGGAATACCCACGTTGTGCGTGTGTATGAATGAAAGCTACACACACACGTGTGCACACACACATACATTTGTTATCATTGTTATACTACAACATTAGGCTAAAATGTATTTCAAGAAAGCCTCACAAAGGAAAAACATGTTACAAAGGGGCAGTTGAAGAGAACAGAGGAGAAAGAATCACCCCTCACACCCAATTAGTCTTGGAGTAAGGAAGAGAAGGGTATGGTGTTAGGTTAATGATTACAAATGTTTAGTACCATGGTGTAGACTGCTGGCCTGACTCACTGTCTAGACGGGGCACAGGGAGGACAAGGAAGGGAAAGTGAAGTGCAAGATGATCACTCAGTCGCCTGTGCTATGTCACGGGCCTTTGCGCACGGTTGGTAGAGGATGGCTGTGTTATGCTTTTGACTCGTGCTGTCTGTTTATGGTGCTTGTAAATGTTTCCCCTGTTTGTTCCTCTCTTCCTCCAGCATTAAATAAAGAAAGTCTACAAAACTCACTGGTATTTCCAACTCTAGAAGCAAGGGCATGGTACCTTGAGTTTGTAAGGCTGGGCCGTCCTGCAGAACTGGGAGTGCAGCATGCTCTCTGTGGACTCTCTTCTACTTTCCATGGAGCGCCTCCTGTGAAGGGAGCACTGGGAAAGGCTCTGAGCTAAGCTGGTCACGCTCTGCATATGTTGTTATTCAATTTTTTAAAGAAAACAATAAGAGATAAAGAACAGACAATAATGAAAGGGAAATATAACATTTCTTATCAAATATCCAATGGTTCTGTCTCTCATCCATGATCAGCAATTAACTTCCCTGGAAACTAATTACTCACCCAACAAGAATCCCTCATGACCTCTTTCTTATGCATACTGTTGTTTCCTAACATCTTAGAGAACATAACTTTTACTCCCTCTTATGTACCCACATTCCACTGCTATGTGGAAATCCCATCACAATGGATGGATGTTCTATCTTTAGAAGCGGTGCAAAACAAGTAACAAAGATTTATGGTTCTGATAAGAGAAAGTTCCCATTCACAAATGGCTCCCAAGTTAAAATGAAGTTAGAAAGTCGTGGAATTTCTCCAGGTGTTACATAATATCGCCACCACAGTTCCAGGGGTTGAGCCCAGTAACCACATTAAGTCATTGCTATCAGCATGAAGTTTTCATTGATGAGAAACAAGACTGGAAAGAAACATTCTCGAAAGGACTGACATAAATTTGTAAGATGCAAGCTACAAATTTGGAACTGCTCTATATAAGCTCAATTTATGTTTTAGGAATAAAAATTGGACATAGAACAATGAGCTCAAGACCCAAATCATTATCAATATTATTGAGGCACAGAGTTAATAGTTACCTTTATGGCAAAAAGCTATAATGACTACTATCACTAACAGCTACTCAGTACCTAGTATGTACCAGGAATATGGATTTTTCAAGTATTATATAACGAATCCTCTGACAAGTTTATGAAAAGAATATTAATATTCCCACTTTTGGGGAATATTAATGTGAGGAAGCTGATGCACAGAAAGGTTGAAGCTGATGCTCAAGACTATCCACTATTATGGTTAGGATCCAAAGTTCCCTTCAAAAAGGATCACAGTGGGGGCTGGGGATTTAGCTCAGTGGCAAAAGCACCTGCCTGGCAAGCGCAAGGTCGTGAGTTCGGTTCCCGGTACCGGAGAAAAACCAAAAAAAAAAAAACAAACAAACAAACAAAAAGGATCACAGTGTTGAAGACTTGGTTGCTGAGGGGCTTTTGGGAAGTGAATGGGTTATGCCAGCTCTGTCTTCATCAGTGGAGTGATCCACTGACCAGCTCATGATTTGACAGCATTATTGTTGGGAACTGATGGAAACAGAGATGAGGCCTAGCTGAAGGAAGTAGATCATGGAGACATGACTAGGGACTGAACTGGCCCCCCATCCCTTCCTCTCCAAATCTGTCCCTCACTCTCTGCTTCCCAGCTGCCAGGAGAAGAGCAGCTTTGCCCCATCATGCTATCTGCCCTACTGTACTGCTTCATCTGAGGCCCACAGCTATACAACCAGCTAACCACGGACTGAATCTCTGAGCCAAGCTAAATCTCTCCTCCTTTAAGTCTATTAATGTCAGGTATTTAGCCACAGTGAGGGAAAGCTGATAAATACATATGCCTACAAGGAACAAAACTAAGATTCAATCTCAGATCTCTCAGACTACAAATCATGCACTTGGGACTGTTCCTACTAAGTAGGAGTCTACTATGAAACACAATAAACTGTCCTACTCCACTGAAATGTAATTGGAGAAGTGGCTACTCTCATACTGGTGGCCTCTCATTAGAAAGCACATGAAGGGAGCTTTGGTAGCAAGCTCCGACCTGGGCTGCACAAGACTACAGTCCTCCATTGCCACAGGAGAGACCTCACAGAAATGGATATTTCCTTTTTTTTTTTTGTTCTTTTTGAGACAGGGTCTCACTCTGCAGTTCAGGCTGGCCTTGAGCTCACTTTCTAGCCCAGGCTGGCCTCGAACTCGCAACAATCCTCCTGCCTCAGCCCCTCGAGTGCTGGGATTACAGGCATGCGCTACCACGCCCAGCTGGATATTTCCTTTAAATGAAGCATCTTTCACTTCCTAAAGCCAAGTGGCCTTTCACTTCTCCTTCTTTAAAAATAATGGCTGGGGGCCGGGGATATAGCTCAGTGGTGTGATATCTGCCTGGAGAGTATGAGGTCCTGAGTTGGATTCCTGGTACCAAAAAAAAAAAACAAAAATGGTGCTAAAAATAATGTCTGGGTAGTCCATGCTTTGGGTGTGATCTCACCCCTAGACTCCTTTCCAGATTCATCCTTCACAATCTTCCAGTAAATGCAAAAAACACCCCTTGACTTCTGCAAGCTGCATCCATCCCTGCTCCTGCTCCTCTGTCCACTAAATGCCCCACACGCCATTGCTAATGCTGACCTCATCTTCCAATAATAATCAGGCTCCTGCAGCTCCTGCTGTGTAATGGTAACTAAGAAACAAGCAGTGTTTTCTCTGCTGATCCACTAATTAACTCTATGCAGTCTTATATCCTTAAAGTAGTTATTCATAAATCTATCTCTGGCTAGTTGTTCATAAACCTATTTCTTCTCAGAGTTTCTAAATTCCTGATCTTTATGTTCATTCCATGCCTGCATGCCAGCACTCAGCACAGTACTTTGCACATAGCACTCAGCACTCAGCACATAGCAGTTCACAACTGTTTACAAACAGAATGTCCGAGTATGATTACTAATTATCCTTCGTTTCACTAGGGTACTCTTTTTTTTTTTAACCCCAGTGGTACTAGAGATTTAAATCAGTGCCTTCACAATGAGCTATACCCCCAGGCCCCCTCACCCCTTTTTTTAAGACAGTGTCTAACTAAATGACTAACTTCCCTAGGCCAGCCCTAAAACTGAGATCCTCCTGCCTCAGCTTCCCAAGTAGCTGGGATTACAGGTGTATGCCACTACACCTGTCTCCTAGAACACTTTTCAACTAAGTTACCTTATTTCTTCTATAGAGGTTGTTGTACAGGACTCTGAAAGTTTTCCTAGTGTAGCTGCTGCGGTAGGCTCCACCAATGAGGTATTCTATTACCAATCCAATGTCAATCAGTGTTATTCTGTAGCCAGAAAGGAGGGTATGCTGTAATAAAAACATACAATGAATGAAAGGTTTCAGATCTCTTTTTCTGTCTCATTTTCCATGCTATCAGAACATAACCAGATTAATTGCCAATAAATAAACTTTTTCATCATCTTTGCAAAACTGATCAATTAATATGGCCAGCTATTGATAGAATCTGCTTATTCAGAGGTAAAAAGGTCTTTGCCTTAATATGATTTTTAGTTTCACAGATATCAAATATATGCTTTCTCTTCCTCTGTCTCCATTTCCCTTTCCCTGTTATGCAGGCAAACATACATACAAACACATTTGAATAAAACACAATTAAATCTAGCACAAAAATTATTTTCAAATAGAAATTAGGTAACTACAGAAGTAAAGTCACTATGTATATAGTGAGTGTATTTCATCCAAAATTAGGACTGGGTTAACTTTCTACCTCGCTGTTGAGATGGCAGTAAACCTCTCCACTGCGCGGGCTGCACCCTATGTGAAATGAAAATAGGGAAGAAAGTAGAGCATATAAAAACAGGTCAAAGAGCTGTGATATCAAATGGTTAAGTGATGGGGCTGGGGATTTAGCTCAGCGGCAAAAGCGCCTGCCTGGCAAGCGCAAGGTCGTGAGTTCAGTTCCCGGCACCGGAGTAAAACCATAAAAAAAAAAAAAAAAAAAAAAAAACAAATGGTTAAGTGATGCCAAGACAAATGTTTTGGCTGATAGAAGAGCTAACAGTGTATATGTGTGTATAAGCTTTCTTTTCCAGGGGCTGGGGATCTAGCTCAGCAGCACAGCACCTGCCTGGCAAGCACAATGTCGTAAGTTCAATTCCTGGTACCAGAAAAAAACAAAACAAAACAAAAAAATCTTTCTTTTCCATAACTGTAATTTATTTTTTCAAGCAGCACCAAAACTAATTCTTATCTGCTGCTAGTTATAAGCATAGTTAACATATTTTGTCCTTTTTCCTTCCAAATTCATTATGATAGAGTTAGAGGAAATAATTAGAAGAAATAACTTAAGGAAAACCATTTTGTCTTGTTTGTTTTTGTGCCAGGAATCGAACTCACAACCTCACACTTGCCAGGCAGGCACTGTGCCACTGAGCTATAACCCCAGCCCTTGGAAAATCACTTTGATATAGCATAAGTCAATGTAAACTAAATTTACATCAGCATGGATGTTTTTGCTTACTCTACATTTGCCAAGCAAATGGGTCCCTCTGGCTCTCCCACCCAGTCAACATAATCCTCCAGAAAAACAAGAAAAGAACTTTTAAAATGTGCCTCGGGTGGATATGAACCATAGTGACAAAATAAAAAGCCCTTCCAATTTCAAGTTTGATCTAACTCAGACTCAGTGGGAACGCCATGAGTAAGCTACACGCAGGATTTTGAGTAGTGGCATGCCTCCTAATTCCCTAGAACAAAGCTTGGACTCACAGAGGAAGTGATAGTGTCCCTGAATTATCACTAATATTCAAAACAATACCAAAAACAATGGAAATCATATTTTGGTCCTCCGATGAAAATAACAGAGCCACCCAGTTCTCCGCTTCGGTGGGCACTGTTAGCTGTCAGCTAAGTTTGTATCATACTAAGCTAAAGTTCTGACTGCGAATGTTCTTTATAATTTCTAGTAGCTAATGTCACTTACTTGGTGGACCAGCACTTTAAAAACATAAAGTAAATGGGGGGAAATGAAAGAGTACGATTCTGTGATGAAATTGTTAGACTCACATGTAAAAGTACAGGCAATTCACTAAAAAATTCAAACCTGTTCTTTATGAAGCAAACTTCGGAAACTCCTTTATCGCAAAGCTAAAGCAATAGGCAAACTATTGTCACACCTTCATGATTCAGTTACCTGTTTCACGTCTTGGACAAGATGATGCAGGAGCATATTAGTTGGTCCTTGTTTCTGTGACAAGAACACAAGGAAGAATTAATTTTCTTTAATTACCAAGCTGCTGCAGGGGAAGGTGCTTTATTTCAGAATATGTAAGTAACCCACAATGTGGAAAATTTTTGTTCAATATCCTTAGTCATAAAGCTTAAAACTAGTTCATTTTAAGGAGTTTCCCAAGAGAAAATGTGATTAGATGACACGTTTTTCAAAGCAAAATGTATATATGCAAGTAGTAAGATAGTTAACTCTATGTGGTAAAAAAGCAGAAATACATTTGAAGTAACCTAGAACTATTCTTTAACATATATATTGTCACACAATTACAGGTCCTCTCACACAGGAGAGTTCCATCATCAGTTATTTATTGAAACTGCATAATGCTTCATAAAGTCTCTAAGGGATTGGAGGGCTTAGCATCATAGAGAAAAATGAGGACTTACACAAAAACCAGCCAATAATATGATAATGCATGTGCTGAACGCTGAACTACCTGTAGCAAGCAAGAAGATAGAACTTGAACAGATTTGGAAAAAAAATAATATTCAAAGGACAAGGAAGGATATTTCCACTGTGTAAGTATTGGAGTATTTATAGTAAGTAAGCCAGTTAGTTTCAACAGAGAGTTTGCATAGGGGAGCTGCAGAACAAAGTTTTGTTTTTTGAGACGGGTTCTCGCCGTGTAGTTCAGGCTGGTCTTGACCTCACTATTTAGCCCAGGCTGGTCTCAAACTCACAGCAACCCACCTGCCTCAACCTCCCAAGTGCTAGGATTATAAGGATACACCACTATGCCCAGCAGGAACAACATTTTAATAGTGGCCTTACATTAACATACTTCAAAGAACTCAATAAAAAGCAATTTGTTCTTATTCACATCTTTGTCTTTATTTCTTAGTAAAATAAAAGAAGTTGGTAAGAATATTTCTCCTTTGGTTGAAAGTCTCTATCTCTATAAACTATCTTTGTACATGAACATTCATTCAAAGACACAGGTGAATATGAAGCTAATTAATGAATAAATCACATGGGTATGACTGGTGAAGCGTCCCTACTCACTGTATTATAGAGCTCTTCCAATCGGGGGATGGTAAGGAAGCGATGAAGATTCATTCCATTTTCGATTAAGAGCTTCACAAAATCCACTCGATCCATCACTAAAGCATCCAACATTGCTTGTTCCAGCATGCCAGGCTTCAGAAGGTATAAACAAGACATACAAAGACAGTTAACAAAGTAGAAATGACTGAAGAATTACATGTATTGGAATGTAAAGCTACTCAGATACAATAATTATAAAATATAATCTTAGAACTGTGCAGGACCTAAGTGAAGATATCTGAATAAGTCAAGAAATATCTCATGTTATTGGTTGGGAAAACTGAGTATTGTAAAGACCTCAAAGCTCCCCAAAATAATATGCAGTCTTAACAAAATTCTAATAAAAATTTGAAGTTTTTGTTTTTGTTTGGTGTTGCTTTTGTTGCTGCTGGTGTTGGTTCGCTTGCTGTGGTAAGACCATGTTTCCATTTAACCGCTACTTGACATCTGAGTATAAATAACAAAATGAACCTGTTCTCCTACTGTTACTCCATTAATATGGCAGCAAACAGTTTTCATGAAAGAAATCCATGCACACAGGATAACAAGAGGGCAATGCTTTGAAAGGTGGAAAACCGTTGGTCAAGTCCTGGAACAAGCAACGTTGATGTCGCAGTGTCCAGAAAGCCAAATAGTAAAGTGGGAAATGCCAAGAGCTGAAAATATCTATGCCACAGATTCACAGCAGCACCAAAATGAAATAAATGTGTACATGCTGAACCCTACTGTTGGGACCTTCTCAGTCACAGTCCCCTACTAACTCCCATTATATGAGCCAAAAGGCTTTTGCTTTTCAGCAGGGTACCGTAAGATTCTTGTCTGGTAGTATCACCCATACAGAAGAAAGAACATGAATATGCTGGCAATAAACAACAGTCCAATCGCCCTATTATAAGCTTAAACTTAGGAAATCTCCAACTACAGGCCCAGAATCTCCAGCGGGCTTTCTATCCTACACCCTTGACCAGAAAGATCAAAACACACAGATCATAAAACATCAACTAGGAGGAATCAGATAATCCAGGAAGAAAACTTCAAAAGAAATGTCGGTATCTTGGGAGAGCTAAAATAGGATGCACTCCAAATGCAAAGGAATTAAAAAAGGAGGATGATACAATCAGAGAACAGATTTGCACTTAGGAATTACTAGATTAACCATATTCTGCTAGAACAGAAAAGCTTCACAGGAGTCTTAAAAGTTAAAAGTTAAGGAAACCTACCAAAGATATAGAATATAATAGAAAAAAGATAAGAAGATTAGAGAAGCAGTCTATGTAGTTCAACACTCAGAATATAGGACTCCAGGGAAAAAAAGAGAAAACTAGTGAATGGAAAGGGAACATGACTGTCAAGCTGAAACCGTGTGCCCAGAATCACAGACATTCAGACTCACAGTGACAGACATCACTGTGACATCTTGGAACACCAGAGAATAGATGGCATTTTAAAATTTTCTGGATTTTGGGGGCAGTGGTAGAAAGAAAGGATCTGAAAAACATAAATATGTTTACCTCTCCAGAGCAATGCTACATAGTCAACATTCTGAGGAAAAACTAGTTCTAACTTGGAGTTAAAATGTAGCCAAACATATAGGCCCTCAGAATATTTATATTCTGTACTCCCTTTCTCAGGAGATACTGAAAAAGGTTTGCCATCAAAATATAGAAAGAAAGAAAGAAAGAAAGAAAGAAAGAAAGAAAGAAAGAAAGAAAGAAAGAAAGAAAGAAAGAAAGAAAGAAGAAGTCCTGAGATACAGGAGACGAGCATCAAGGTAACGGAAGGTCACCCCTGGGCAACAGCTATGCACAGGGCAGAGAAAGCAACCTGAGCACACCGCAGCCCGGAGACACCCTGCCCCAGGATGGCAAAGTCCAGAGTTTTCTGAAATGGATGAACCAGAAGACAGCTATGTGACATTACCTAGAAACAGAGAAACTCTATAAATATTAGAACAGTTCTAAAATGCCCAAAAAAGTGGGCTCATTGTGGCAGGAAAGTACTTTTTTACAAGTCTTTGATATCATTTGATGTCTTACAATGTTCTTTTTTTTTTTTTTTTTTTTTTTTCTTTTTGAGACAGGGTCTCGCTATGCAGTTCAGGCTGGCCTTGAGCTCACTTTGTAGCCCAGGCTGGTCTCGAACTCACAACAATCCTCCTGCCTTAGCCTCCCAAGTGCTGAGATTATAGGCGTGCGCTACCACGCCCAGCTCAACGTTCATTTATCAGTCTGACCCAAACATGCCTTTAGTGGATTATAACCTTAATTTCTTTAAATGCATTATTAATAGTGATTCGCACTCTACGTAATATTTTTTCACTGACTTCTACTGTGAATACTTATTATATATTTCAATGCACAAAAAAGATATAACTTTTAAATCTGAAGTAACAAAATAAAAATCTACCCATTCAAAAAAATAAATTATGCATCTCTCCATTCTGTCTTTCCCCCCACTTCCCTTTTCAGCTTCAATTAGGCTCGGAAGATGGGGAAAATTGTTTTCAAGGAGGGAAAACAGAGGAGTGAAAAGTGTTAGCTGCCCCGGGAGCCCAGCCTTGAAGATGCTCCTCCCACGCTCCCCCATACCAATCCATCACCCCCCAGTATTCTCTCTGTCCCTCCCTAACAAGCCAATACTCAGGATATTTGTTCCAGATCACTTCACTTTCACTATACCTTCCAATGCTGTCCGCAAATTAGGATATGCTTCTTGGCAATGTCCACTCTGTCCCAAGCCATTGCTAGATTTAGCTGCTCCGATGCTGACAAGTTTGTGCCTGGGGTAAAAGAAAGCAACAATCATATATTCTCCTCAGAATATGCTAGTCAACTAGCAAAGCACAAGGTGTCCTGGGATGTCAGAATAGAACGTGAAGTCTACTCGGGTTCTTACCCTTCAGCAGTGCTGTCAGGATTACTAAGTCAAGGTCCTGCTGCTCTTCAGAGTCAGTATCGAATATGGTGATCTGTAATTGTGGAAAAACAGAAAGCCGTACATTTGGGGAATGACCAAGGAAATACTTTCAAACCGTCCCTGTAGAATTCACATTTAAGCTAATGAAGTAAGGAAAATATTCCTCATTTTGTAATTTCATAACAAGATAAAGTGCTTTGTTTTATGTTTTGTTTTACTTATAAAAGAGGAAACTTTTTAAATAGGGTGAACAAGAAATTGCAGGCACTTAGAAAAAATAAAACTTCCAAAATGTCATGTGCACTCGAACTTGCTATGTGTATGCCACGAAGAGAAGAAACTCAATATTAATTCCTAATATGAATAAATCATCCCTCCTTTGGAAGGGAGGGATGCCACATGAGATCCTACTGCTTACCTACTCCTATAAACTACAACTGTTGCATTTTAATGAGAAACTAATCTGCAAGCATTTATCCTTTAAAATGAGTGTGACAATTACAATGGACCTAAGGAGCAAGTATAATGCAACACAATCTTCACACTGTACCCCACTCATCCTGGTCTGACTTTTTAAAAGACAAATAAAGATTTCTAAAGGGTCACCTGAAAATGAATATATATTTCACATAATACAGGAAGCTGGTTTAACAGAAAAGAACCAGAAGTAGCAAATCCTACTCCTAGGTAGGCCACCAACCAGCCAGCCTTGGGTAAATATCTCAAGCCCCTTGAGTGTAGCTTACTCATCCCCAACATGAGAAGAATCCACTGGAAAATCTCTGTGTTACCATAAAGATATAAAAACCACACTGCTACAACTTCACATGTTGGTTCCTTTCATCTAACACCCCCAAAATGGGGATGGGTAAAAGTCAAGCCCCAACTGGACAGGGACTGAGAACACAAACCCTTGGCTGACTTCTCCTGCCTTTCTTGGTCATTATTCTGCTCTTGAATTCCACAGCTTGATGACAGGAAGAGGCACACACTGGCAATCTCTTTAATACGGACTTAACTCACTTAATTTCCACTATTATGGGAAATACAAAGTGTAGTGGGTTAAGAACAAGATTTCATCTCTGAGCTCAAATTTCACTTCTGCCAAGTCCTAACGACATGACTGTGTAAGTCACCTGTATTCTCTAGTCCTCAGCTTCACATTTCTGAACTAGAAGTAAACCACCGCCATATTGAACTCACATGTGGGGTTATTATATGTCAGTAAAAGTCACCTGCTGGTTTTCCCACATGCTTTGCCTGCTTCGTCTAGCCTGATCTTGTTCAGTTGGCTTTTTCAGACTGGGTACTATAATATTACCAACATTCTTCCAACAATGTATCCAGTCTTCCCATTCCAGAAAGATCACTTTGAATCGTGATATATCGGCATATTTATTGCCCTTTTCAGCTTCACATAATATAAGCCATGGATGAGCACGCCGATCATAGTACCCTAACCCTAAACACTTTTCAAACTGAGTTTACATCATGGTCACGTCCCAATCTGTGGACTCCATTCTCTACTCCAAGCTTTATTCTCACATTTCCCATCATTCAATACATTCCTGATACCCTGCTGTGGGATTTATTCAGGCCTCTGTGACCTAGCAGACTTCAGTTTACCAAGGACTTGGAGATGTTCGCTTATTCTGCAAATGTTATGTACAGTTTTCATTAAGTTCAACAACTTTTCTGTAACACTATCTTTTTCCTATCTAAGTGCTACCTAAGTCCCATGCAGCCTGGAATCTGAAGCATGAGGGGTAGGGGTGGGGTGGAGCAGTAAGAAGCCAAGTTCATTCACATAAGCATCAAATTCTATAGAATAGCTATAGAGTTATGGCTATTCATGAGCAAAATGGGAAAGTCCGCATTTTAAAGACTGTGAGAATCAAAATTCAATTTCTGGGAACTGGCATTTTTTTTAGTAGGATTGAGTAGTAATCAACTAGTAATACTCACAGAATCCTTGTGCACCATACACTCCATTAGAATGTGAAGAAGGTGCTTGGACTGTTTGAGACTAAAGTTGAAAGCATTCTGAATCATAGAGATGAGCTCCTCTTTTACCTGGACATGCAGCCTCCTGACACAGAAATAAATGGTCACAACCCAATGAAAGCTAGGCCAGGAACAAAACCAGTGACCGCGGTAAAAGACATCCCACCCACCTTTCTGGGGAGGTTGCTATGGGCAGTTCTGCCAGAGAGCAAATGAGCAGCAAGCAAACAAAAGCAGAGACTCAGGAGAAAGTGGAATCTGCAGTCCAGGCAGAGGCCTAGAGCTGATGGATTTCTGAGGGCTGTGAATGTCCAGAATTATGAGCCATATTCTCACAAAGACGTGAACCCTAAAAAACCATTCATCCGAGGGACTTTAAGAAAGGGAAGAGTGAAAAAGGAGAGGGGTAGAGATATACCTGTAAGTATAAGTGAGATACAGGTGTAGGTGAGATACAGGTATGGATGAGATATATGTATAAGTGAGATACAAATAGAGGTGAGAGATAGCTACATGTGAGATATAGCCATAGGTGAGATATAGGTCTAGGTGAGATACAGGTATAGAAGTAGAGGGCTGAGGGCTAAACAGTGGGAGAAAGAGTAAGGAAAGAGACTCCAGAAAGCTAATAGAATGTAAGCAGTGAATAAATGTTTACTACATAAATGAGTGGAGCTGCCATTTCAGTTCCCAGGCACTGAATTTACACAGCATGAAGATCATGCTGTAAAAGCTGGAAGATTCACACTGGCTATAAGAATGGCTAGAGAAACAGCATCTTTGCAAAAGAGAAAGAATCAAAACCGAAAATAAACACAACCTGCCACTTTTAAAAATGGCAAATAATTCTGAAGGTGACCTGGACACTGAGGCATGAGGGGCAGAGCTGGGGGAAACTCTAGGAAGCCAATTTTATTCATCTCCTCCTTCAGTGGAGGATGCAGCACCCCAGCAGAGGAATAAGTGGTCATGACAACACAGCCCCTGAAAAAATGGATCCCAAGCTCAACCACTGTCCTCCAAAGATATGTGACCCATGTAAAGGCACACTTGGAAGAACAAAACCAGGGGAACAGTAATCACTGGAGTGTCCAAAAGAAGAGTCCACAACTCACCCTTCATCTGCGAAGTGCTTGTGGGTGAAGGCCAGGATGTCAGCAGCCCTGCCCGTGCCTTCACACACGACCACGGGCTCTTCGTCCTTCACCATCTCCCACACCGAGAGGATGACGTTGGGGCCTCCTTCCACCACCAGCCCCACCACGGGCACGCCTTGTCTTGAGCCTGTTTCAGAGCACAGACGATAAACACCACACTGCTAGGGGCATCCTGTCTCAGCCAGTCGGCCCTGGGAGGTCTGGACACAAGTCTCTGAATGACCACGTGTTGGCACTGCTGACACTGGTCAAGCTTCTCTTTTTTACCCAGGTTTGCTTAGATCAAGACCAAGCCAGAAACTTGGACTTCAAATAAAATCTACCATAAATATGGCGAGGATATCTTCAAGCTTTTGCCAAGTTAAACAGTAACTAAAAGCTTTTTTTTTTTCCCTCCTTAATACTAGGGATTAAACCCAGGATCTTCCCAGAGACCTGCATCCCCAGGTTTTCTGTTCTTTGTTTTTGTTTTTGTTTTTTTTACTCTTGTGGTACAGGGTCTCACTAAGTCACTCAGTTGCCCCTGCCTGCAATTCCTCCAGCTGGAGGACAGGAAAGTGCCATCACACCTGGAGGAAGTTTAACTTCTCATTGTGGGAAATCCTAAATGTATCTCGAAGTAAACAGAATATATAAGGGACTCCAATGCACCCATCATTCATTTCCAAAAGCGATCAAGCCCTGGCCAATTCAATAAATTTTTCCTTTGGCACTGGCAGTCCTAGGGACTGAACTCAGGACTTTGCACATGTTAGGCAAGTGCTGTACCATGGGTTTCTATCCCAAGCCCTCCATAAACTTTTAATGACGAGTATTTCTAGGAATCAGATGTGCTGGACAGCCTTCAAAGACTTTTACAATATATTGTATTTCAGTAGACTCCACTTTACTGTTTAAACTCCTTACCATGATGATGTATTACTTTATTAGAGCGAGGAAGACCCGAAAAAAGAAAAACCATGGAGACTTTCCCATTTTTTTTTTTTTTTTTTTTTTGTATCAGGAATCAAACTCAGGACCTTATGCTTGCCAGGCAGGCACTGTGCCACTGAGCTATATCCCCGACCCTGGAGCCTTCCTCTTAAAAGAAAGTATTAAGTGCAAAAAGTTACGGATAAGTATAATACATTTCATTTATATTTTTGAAAACTTACACATGGCTATACATTTTATATATATATATATGGCAATAGCCACATGTATAGCACGTTGTCCAAATCTCCAGGTAATTCTGGAAGAACATCCATCAAACTGTATTTACACTAGAAAATGGGGGGGCAGAGGACTTGGAGAAATGTTGTAAAGGGACTTTGTGCATCTTATAGTTTTCTTTTTTTCAGTTTTAACACCACACATGCATTACTATATTACTTTTAAATCTATACTTTTTACTTTTCAAAGGGAGAGAAATTGGCAGGCAATGCCCTACTTGCACCTGAGCAATAGGGAATTTCACACAGAGTCACTCATCTTGAGGGGCCCCATGTGACTGTCCTCTGCCCCCACTTCACAGAGAGGAGCCTGCGGGGCCTGTTTCAGTGGAAGCCTGCACCTTGTCCACTCTTCCTGGAGTTCACAGGACTCCAGGTCCTGTTTAAAGGCACCCCATAAGCCTCTGCCTCAGGTATGTCCTCTCCAAGGAGGGGTGGAGTCTGAGTGATCATGTGTGTGCCCCACCTGATATGCAGGACTGAGCTATAGGTGGAAAGAGAAGCACGGCGCGGGTAAGGTCACACTTCTGTTTTGACTCAGCATGTCCCCAAATCCAAGCACTGTGAATATAACCTGGCCTTCCCACTTGACTTTTCAATGTGAGAGGGTAAAGCACATTTTATCGCGTGTTAGCTTGACTTGAAGCTTTTAAACATTTACACAGACAGCACGTGGGCTTCGTGTGTGCCCTTGCCTCAGAATCCATAGGGCTGTGGGTGGGTCCATTAGCAGACACCCATACACTTAATTCTGCCTACTTAATTGCACTGATATTCTTCTTCCTTTCCTTTTTCATTCAGCTCCACCTCCTTATTATTTTCTCTGTATCACTAAAAAACAAGCTTAGGATGTACCAGCTGACAGACATGGTTACACTAATAATATCACCTTTAAAAAGCTAAATGAAATGGTGGAATGGTTTATTAAGGCCCAAAAGTAATAACAAATTTTTAAAATTTAGATGGTTATTTATTTCATTACTCTTAGGTTTTTTTTTTTTCCTTGTTTAGTTCTGCTTTATTTTGTTTATAGTGCTCAGGATCAAACCTAGGGCCTCACACACCCCACGCAAGTGTTCTACCACTGAGCTACAACCCCAGTCCAAGAGGCTGCCCTGCCTCAGAGCACCTCTGTGAGCTTGATGCAACCTGGATACCGCCCAAAAGCTTATTTCTAAAAGCCCTGTCAGGTTTTAACCCCTTCCCTACCCCACCCACATATGAAATGTCACCTTCCCTAATCATCCACCCTCAGAACCTCACTCTTCTCAGGCTCCCCTCCACATCGCTCTTCGGCCACCCCCGTTCCCACAAGGAACCCTCGCCTTCCCCTCCGTCTGTCCATCCTGCTGACTTCACCATCCTCCCGTGAAGCCTCTCCTGACTATATTGCCCCCAAAGACTTCCTCTCTCCTGCTGTCACTCACAATTTTGCATCCTATTTTACTCTGATTTCTTCCTGCTTTGGAAACATGTGTAACTGAATCTCTCAGGGACCATTTTGCAGAAGACAATGGAGCACCTTGCTGCTACACAGGCCCCTAGCGCCCAAAGGAAAGAACTCACAGCTGTGTATTTTCTGCAGGGACAGGTACTTCTCCAGGTTCCTCCTGAGCTTCAGTTCGTTCCCGTACCTGCCCACAGTGCCATCGTCAGACAGGATGAAGTGGGAGTGCATGCAGTTGAGCGTGGTGAGCTTGCTGATGGGGTTCCCCAGCGTCTGGTACATGCACACCACCTGAGAGACAGCCGGGACCAGAGACGTCAGAGTCCTATCCTTCCCAGAGCCGACTGTTCCAGAGCCCTATCTCTCTGCACTGACAAACCACCAGCTAAGGTTAAAGACCATCACTTACTACTTAGCACAGTGCTAAAAAATAAAAAACAAAAACCCAGCTCCCCAGAAGCTGCACCCAGCTCCAAGGCCTGGGAGATCCAGGGAGAAATGGCACGGGGCGCTCGGCTGTTGTGAACTGCAAAAACAGCAAGGGGTTTCGCTACAAGGGAACTCTTTCCGCAAGGCAGGTAAGAGCCACAGAGGGGGATTCGAGCACAGGTACCCACCATATTGACATAGGAAATGTGGCTGGCAAAGCCGGCTGGAGAAATAAATGGGACCTGTCAATGACAAGGTCCTAGGACAGCGCCAAATAATTCCCAGGAGCCCGGATGTGGAACTTCTGGCGGGCTCTCACGAGATGTGGACGGCATATAACGAGACGGAAGCGCGGAGGCTCCCGCTCTCCAGAGTCCTCACAGTGGCTCAGCTGTGCCTCTCAGACACGGGCTGTACTTTTATTTTTGCTCTTTTTTATCCTTTTCTCTCTCGTTCAGCCCTAGTTTGCTCTGCAGAGCCAGTTTCTCCCTTACCCCTTCACCCCTCGCTTTCCAAATAAACTTTTGGCACCATCTCTGGCTTATCAAGGCCAATTCTTTGCTCAAGGCAGGAAGGACCCGGACTCCTCCCGGGCGGGCTCTTCTGGAGGACCTGCCAGAGAACAGTCCGACCAGAGTGTTTAATCAGGTGCCACTTCAGGACGGGCTCGATGTAAGCCTGGGACACAGAATAACCAAAAACCAGCTTGGCTTCGGGCCTCCCAGGGTGGCCTCCCGCGGTGAGGGGGTGGGAGCCAGGCACAGATCTGAGCCCCACCGCAGGCGCTGCGCAGGCGCAGAAACGGGGCCGTGGGGTGCAGGCGCCCCTCACACCCCACAGCCACAAGGACTCCAAAACCCACCCATTCAAAAACAAAATTTTTTGGATTCATTTTCGTTTTTTAGTTTTTTTTTTTCCCCCTCTTTCCTCTTTTTCCCTCACAAGTTTGTTGAGGTTTGGAAAAGTTCTGTCATTTTTTTTCTTTTTCTTAATTCTTTTTTCTTTTTCCTTTCTTTCCTTTTTTCTTTCATTTTTAAATTCTCCATATTTCCTTTTTTGTCTCTTGTTTTTTTTCTGTTACCTTTACCTAATTCTTTAAAATATCCTTCTACCCCTTGATAGGATCCTTTGTCTCACTTTGTTTCTTATCGCTCACTGTTTAATTTTTCGAATTTTTCTTTTTGCATTCTCCCATTCCCAACCCCCATCTCATCAATAGTATAACCACTAAGCTTTATTAATCTTTAGATAGAGAGCTCTACTTACTATCATTGAAATTTTTTCTAATGTCCGTGGAGGAATAGTTTTCACATTTAGTAAGTATTTGCTGTATGTCACTATCTGGCTTGTCTTACCGTTCATACTGTAATTATCGATTTCTAAGATTAAGGGTGGTACACTACTAAGTCTATTGGTATGCAAATGTCCAATTTGTCTTGGATGATATTAGTGCTGCTGATTTGATATTGCCAGGGAGGTACAGTTGTTGCTATTAGCTATTTTTCCTTGTATGCTAACACCCAAATGACCTTTGTGACATTAACAGTATTGCAACCTATCCACAGAGAACTGGGTGCTGAGCCAATTATATTGCATATGGGAAAGAGACCAAGAGATGGATGGAAAAGTTGAGAGAGGAAGTAAAAAACAACTAAGATGTGTTATGTACATGTACCAACTCCCCATGAGGAATGTGGTCATTATGCACTATACTACAGACAAGTACTAATAAGAAAGAAAAAAATAAAGTAATTCAATGAAAAAGTGAACAAAACAAAAATCTATTAACCCTGTGAGCTAAGTTAAATCATTCCTCCTAAAGAAAAGAAAAGAAAAAGAAAGGAAACTCTATTTATTACCTTATCACAATGTATGGAACATTTTTGCACAAACAAATCAAACTATTAAAAACTATGAGACACCCTGAGAAAATCCACAGGTATAAAAGGTCACCATGTGAGGAAAAAAAAAAATAAGAAAATGAAAGCTTGACTGGATGAGTTGATGATGATCAGGAATTACTGATGATATATAGGAATTAGTGTAAATTTTTAGTCATAATAACAGCATTGTGATTTCATATATATAATTATGCATATATTTATATATATTTTTTAAAACTCTTCCAGGTCTCAGTGGTGACAGACCTTATCTTTATTAGTATATATTTGCTATATATAATGATCACACTCATCATAGAGAATCTGTACCTGCACATGATATATCTTAATTTTTTTCCCATTCTACTCACCTCCCTTCAACCTTTCTCCCTTATGTTTTCTTAAATTGTTCACATAGTTTAGAAAGACCTACTGAAATATTTAAAGATGAAGTTATTGGATGTCTGGAATTAGCCTCAAGATAATGAAGAGGGTTTGTTGGAAATGAGGAGGGGGACAAAGGAAATAAAACTGGCAATGTGTCAACAAATGCTGAAGCTGGGAGACAGTACACAGCAAATCATTACTCTGCTATTTCACATATTTGAAAATTTCTAAAATAAAAATTTTAGAAAAATAAGAATGTCTATATTAGTTGGCATAGAGAAATAACTGTGATAAGGTTAAGCAAGTTTGTAGTGAGTTTCTAATGTTACTTTTTTTAAAATATGCATTTTCAACTCTACATATATATGCATACAGAGAAAAATCTTTGGAGTGAAAACACACCAAAATATTAACAGCAGTTACTTTTGTTCTTTGTATCTTTTCTAATGATTGATAAAAACATGTATGTTTTATAAATAGACTTAGCCCAACCCATAGATAACACACAAGATAGGTTCCAAGAGTCAGTACACAGAAATGAATGGAGCAGAAAGTAACATAGGCACGGGAAGAGAACTAGTCAGGACCACAAGAAGAATGCACTTTGTTTTACCACATGCAAATCTTTGCAGATATACTGGCTATGTGCCAAACAGGAGCCATTCAGGAGTTTTACCCCAAAAAGGCTTTCTTTTTTGGTGCCAGGAATAGAATTCAGGATCTTGAGCTTCCCAGGCAGGTGCTGTGCCACTGAGCTATATCCTCAGTCCAATTTTTTATTAGTATTTTATAGAATCACTGTGTCTATAATAGACTGCAATAAGAGACAAGAATCGGACGGGAAAGGCAACGGTCATTTAGGCATCAGATAATGATCACTTGAACCTACTCAGTAACAGTGGAAGCAATCAGAAGTCAGACGCTGGCTATGTTTTGATGGATCAAGTTTGAGGCATGAGACAAAGAGGATTAATCAGAGGTTTCTAGCGTGAGCAACTGCAAGACTGGATCATCGTTTTCTAAAATTGGGTGAGTACTGCTCAACCCTAATGAGGATTAATTTGAGTCATTTGTAGAAAAACAGATGTACGTTGAGATCATAATATTAAGTGAAACAAATCACATACAAAAGGATAAATATCACATAGTTTTTCTTCCATTAAAAACCCAAAATATAAATAATTTTAAAAACTAAATAAAAGAGAGCTGACAGGAAACAGAGAGGCAGCCTTCATGGAGATGGGAAGGGGAATCCAGAAATAGAGGGAGAGACGGGTGGGGAAAGACAAGGGAAAGGAAAATGATGAAGATTTGATGTGTATATGTGCCAGGTCCCCAAGATGGATGTGACTGTTACAATAACATATATGGATGAGAAAAGGAAATTAAAAATAAATACACAAAATAGGGTGAGGGATGTAGTAGGAAGGCTAGAGTTGGTTTTAGAGATATTACATGTGAATGTCAATTAGACATCCAGGAACAGTGTCACATGGACATTTGGCTGTGAAAGGAGTGTCTACTTACATTTTTTCCAATAAGATCTCTCTGGTTCTCAATGACACCCCAAGGAGGGATTCCAACTGTCCAGATTCTTCTTAAGGACTTAGAGGAATGGGCTTTCAGGGCATCCCCCACATGCTTGGAAATTCCTATGAACAACCAGTACAGAAGTCAAATTTTAATTCACACTAATCGTGCAAAACAGTGATTCGGAAAGAAACTCAGACAAGTGTATGCACAGAGTCATTCTTAAGGGAAAGTTCCTGACACAGTGGAATCAGTTTCTGATATCTTGACTTCCTCTGTTCTCTCTTAACGCTTCTTTCTCTTATCGCTGACCTCTAGACCTGAGTAATTACAATCTCCCTCTAGACAATTTCTGCCTATAAGCTCAGTTCTGAGCCTACTCTTCTTTGGCCAGAATGTTCTACACATTATCCTTTCTCAGCAAGCCCAGCCCAGACATCAGGAATGTTCTAAGTATTTTGATCTCTAATTTCCAGTGTCCCAGCAAAACAGCCTTCCTTAATTGATTAAAGGAAACTAATAAAATAACAATATACACCAGTATTCCAGACTTAATGTATTAAAAAGTAATGCATTACTGCTTGCCCTCTGGGAGTAACAATAATAACTACAATTATAGTAGCTGCTGCTTACTGGCATGTTGTAAGATGTCAGTAAATGTTGACTAGCTTAATGTGTATTTACACTTTAAGCAGGAACATTTTTTTGGGTCCATCTTATAGACAAAAACAGTGACACAAAGAAGCCAAAGACTTACCCAAGGTTACAGCTAGTTATTTGTAGAAATTAGATAACAATCTAAGTAATCAGACTTTTTTTTTAAAATAGGCTATTTATCGGCTGGGCATGGTGGCACACACCTATAATCCAAGCACTCAGCAGGCTGAGGCAGGATGATCATTGTGAGTTCGAGACCAGCCTGGGCTACAAAGAGCTCATGGCCAGCCTGAACTGCATAGCGAGACCCTATCTCAAAAAGACAAACATAAAAATAAAAATAAAATAGGCTATTTTTAGGACAGTTTTAGGTTGAACAGAAGATTTTAAATTCTCAGTACACTCCACACAAAAACAGCCTCCACTGCCAGCAATATCTCCCACCAGAATGATACCTTTTATATAAGCAATGAGTTTATATTGACACACCATTACCACTCAGAGACCTCAGCTTACATGAGGGTTCATGCTTGGTATTATGTATTCTGTGTGCTGACAACAGCACAGTGACATGCACTCACCAATGCAGTATCACCAATCTATCTCACTGCCCTTGAAAACCCTCTAGAAATTGCCTACTCATCCCTCCCTCCCTGTGAATTCCTGACAACCGCTGATCTCTCAATGTTCCCATAGTTGCCTTTTCTAGATCATCATAGAGTTGGAATCATACAGTCCACAGCCTTTTGACTTTGATCTAATGTGACCTTTAGTCCCAATACTGCATTATACGACATATTCTTCCTATGCCTAGTAATGATTGTAACTGTGTCATTAGCCCAGAAAAAAATAACAGTGCCATGGTTTGAATGGGTCCCCTTCAAAATCCACGCAGGAAGTATCTAATCCCCAGGGCCACAGTGTTTGGAAGTAGGGCCTTCCATCCACGGAAATGGACTGAAGCATCTATCAAAAGAGCTTCTGAGAGTATGTCTCTTTCTTGCCTTCCAACGTTCACCATGTGAGGACACAGCCAGAAAGTACACATCAGATGTAGATGCCTTGATCTTGGACTTTCCAGCCTCCAGAACTGCAAAAGAATAAATTTCTATTCTTTATCAATGACCAGTCTCAGGTTTTCTGTTATAGTAGCACAGATTAAGACACCTGCATACTGCATGCACCTGATGCAGAGTGCCTGGATCACGTTCTTATGTCTGGCACCTTCTCCTCTGGTTCATTGTCCAAACTTTGTCCACAGTCATCTCTCCAGGTTATAACCACAGGAGCAGATCAGTACCAACTGTGGAGTCATCTATCCAGATAAAGACTGTAATTCTTGAGTTAATTTTTAAACCAGGTTAATGCCCGGTTTACCAACCTTGTTGCTGTTACTGCTGCTATTGCGGTAACTGATCTTCCTGTGATCATAATACAAGTTCTCGGCTGAGAATACCTACAAAACTCAATCTGACCATATCACCCCCCTACTCATTCTCTTTACTCAGAAGCCGTTGGGTCTTCGGCCACATGGAGAACAATGCCAGCTCATCACCCAATGGCACCCAATCTGGCCCCAGGCTCCCTTACTGTCCCTGTCCCTGACATATGGCCATACCATCAGCAGTGGCCTTATTGCTCTTTCTACACATGCCTTACTCTCCAGATGAATGTCTGACAATAAACTGCCACCTCTGTCCTGCTTAAGACCAGTGCCAGCTTCTATAGCCTTCACCCAGCCCTCAACAAGCCATAAGTTCAAACTATAATTCATCTCCTCTCCCTAGTACTCCCCAACACTTTGCACCTCCAACATAACCTAGTCAGCATCAATTGCTAGCTATTCGCCTTCTGTCCACTTGTCCCAGACCACTCCTGTCCCTTACTTAGAACCTGCGTTATTCACCTTTTCTGCACAGCACCTACTGAAACACTTCACACGAGGTAGATTCCGAAGGCTGCGGGCATTCGATTTAACTGTCATGGCCAGTGATGTTCAACTACAGTTCAGGAGCATCTCAAGAGTACGCAGGAGCTCCTAAGCAGAGTCTTTCAAATTTAAATGTGCATAAGCGCCTTCCAGGCTAAAATGCAAGCTCCAATTCTGCAGGTCTGGGTTGGGGTCTAAGATCAGTGCAGCTGCTGCTGGCTCAGGGTCCTCGCCTCAAACTGTCATGCCTTGGAGGGCCTGTGGTTGAACTGGGCAAACTGACTGCAGATCAGGGAAGCTCCAAATGCTCCTCCCCATTTCCCACTTGTTTTGTTCACAGGAACTACTTTAATCATCTGCACACAACTGTGTAAGTTTCCCTTGAAGTTGGCTGGTCCTAGGCTACAGTTTCTTTTTTTTAAAGCATTAAATAAAATAAAGCATGCAATGCAGTTAGTTAAAGAGAAAGCTTTGTCCAAGTCTACTTTCTTCTTACCTCTGCAAAACCTCCCCAACTCACCACTTTTCTACTGGAAGTAAAATAAGTACTGTGCAACGGACTCAGGACTGCCAATTGAGTTTATTCCAGGAATGTGACACAGTCAGTATCTGTAACATGCACAAGATGTTACCTAATAGTGACAGGATAAATCCCTTGGTTTTATTTTGGCTTGTTTTGAGTTTTTGTTTTGTTTTTGCTGTTGGTCTTCTTTCATTTCTTTTCAGCCAAAACAAATTGTTGACTGGGTATATGTTGCCAAACCCTAGCAAATGCCTAGCCCTGCCTCTGGCCCACCTCCAGGTAAGAGAGCTGGTGCACGGACTGCTCTAACATGTGAGGCGAATACAGATACACAAGGGCCATAGGCAGTCCCTACTGTAGAAACTGGACAAAAGTGTGGAGCTCTAGTTGACATCAAAGGGCCTGCTTCACGGGTGCACTGGCCTCTAAGTGCTGATCCTAATAGAGGGGTAGAATTCAGTTGGAGACACTGGCTAGGGGATCCCACACCAAAAAAGAAAAGGCAAAAAAGAACTGGAAAGCCACGGGTCAGCAACAGCCTGCACAGAGAAAAGTGTTTGTGGTGCCCCTTGTTCTGGAACCTGGCTGCACGCCACACACACCTCAGAAGCTACACCCGAAAGTCTCAAATTCACCTGGGGAAGAGTGTGTGGGAGTGACTGTTTGAAAGCCCCTCAGGTGATTCTATGGTACAGACAGTTCATACACAGATGCGAAGGAGCGAGATGCTTACAGCTGAATTTCAAGGACTATACACAGGTCAATGACAGAGGCAGCGAGTTTATGGACAGTCACGTCCTTAAAAAAAGTAGAAATTGTCCACTCAGGCCCAAGGCCTTGATGCAGTATCATACATGTCACTCATGCCCAGCATCTGAGAACTTGGCGACAACGGCATGCGTTTACCCCGTGTCCAGACTCACGCTCCCTGCACACGTCCTTGGGCTTGAGATCCCTTGTAACCTCCTACTGGTCCTGACAAAAGGTCATTTCCGAAGTGGTCTATATTTCATTACAAGGGTCAGATGACAGAAAGGGGAAAAGATAAGAGAAATTAATCAGTGAACAGCTAAAGACAAATCCAACAAAAAACTGTTCCACACTCTTTAAGGTGTGTTGATTCAAGACCCCAGGTGGCTGGCCAAGTGCCACTGTGCTGTCCCCAACCCATCCAGAAGTAACAGGTCCTTCCGTGGGCCATTCTCTCCCACCTCAGGTTATTCCACACCTCTTCTGCACAGCTCTGATGGGAGTTCAGTATAAGTATTAGTCTTTCTTTTCCCAAAATTTCACCACACGATTGCCCTTGCCTCTCAGCTCCAGCAGACACATTTCCAATTGCTCCCCAGCCCTGCCGCTAGTAGTTACAGAACTGGACAAGGGACCAAGTCCTTTCCTGACTGGCATCTGCAGTGGTGCCATAAACCCTTCTGTTTCAGAGGTCACTTGCTCTCAAGAGTTTTGGTTGAATAGACGAAAGCTCAGGACAGACTGTTTCCCGTGCCAGAAGTTTACTCAAAGTGATATTAAAATGTGATATTTTGACAACGATGAAAACATTCTGGGAAAGGCCTATGAGTCTTCTGGACCTAGATTCTAATCACTAGTCGCTATTTCTGATCTTCTTTCTGACACCACATTTGCTGGGAGTGTAGCAGAGGAGGGATTTGATGCTGTACTGCCTGGTTCACAGAAGAGAGAAAAGGGAAGAAAGTAGGGAGGGGAGGAGGGAAGGAAGGAAGGAGAGAGGGAAGGAGGGAGGGCAGAGGCAGCAAGGGAGGGAGGGAGAGAAGAAAGTGGTGCATAGACCCCCTTTACCCATGTTGATGCCTTCCGTGACTATCCACGCTCCCGTTGTCTCTGCAGCTTTGACCAAACCCTGGCTGAAGATCTCTTTCAGCTTGGAGGGCATCTTAAAGTTCTGGATGCCTCCATGGACAGATATCACCAACTTGGGCAACTCCATCTTCCACTCTTCCAGCATCAAATGTAACAGATGATCCAACCTGGTGTCATAAGAAGTGCGGATATACTGGAAGACACATACACGAACACAGAACTGTGAAAAACACCGACCAGGTACAGAAACCACGACCCACCTCAGGGTAGCTGAAATGGCTCAGACCAGAAAGAAGTGTCAAGCATCTCTCTAAAAGTTCACCTTCACACAAAAGAAACATTTGCTTTTCAAAGACCCGACATGCCCTTGAAGTTCCTTCTGGGAATTATAAACCACTGTAGGAAAGTTTCCTCTGGCTGGAGGCTTGGATCCCAGTGTCCCATAGAAGGCCTGAGGTGAGGCAGAAATACTTCAAACAGCTGCCCAAAAGTACTACACCAGCAAACCGGTTAAGAAAAAACTGTAAGTGAGTGAAATGTGATTTTTCATAAATGCTAAAGCTTCTAGTTCACTTGATCTTTTCATATTTGCATAATTGTATTTAATCTAGTGTAAATTTTACCTTCTAACCATTTCCTTTATGTACTATTACCTCTCTGAAATTATTTCCTTTTCCAAAACAATTCTTTTCAGTCAAATGTGGTGGCACATCCCTGTAAATCCCAACACTTGGAAGGCTGAGGCAGGAGGATCACCACAAGTGTGAGGGCACCCAAGGCTACAAGTATGAGTGCATTCAACGCCAGCCTGAGCTACATTATGAGAACCTTTAAAAAAAAAAAAAAAAAAAAAAGAGAGAGAGAGCAAAAAACAAAAAACCAGCTTTTCACAGAACAATTGTTTCTCAATATTTAATGTGAGCAAAGAAAAGATGCGGGAATGGGGGTTGAAAATGCCCAAAGCACATAGGTGCATTATGAATCTGCCAACATGAACCCAATTAATCCATACAGCCAGTATTAAAAAATGTGAAACAAAGATGAAGGAAATCTAAACCAGCGAGTAGTTCTCCAATGATCTTGCATTTGCCTAGGATCATATGGTATGATGGGCTTTCTCTTTCCAGCAAATGCAGCCACACAAGCCGTTCAAATCCTGTAATATAGAGATTTCACCTTCTGCAAGCGTATGCCTACCAAGCAAGAATAAGCAAGACGAAAGAAGAAAAAGAAAGAAAGAAAATACAAAGTGGTGAATTACAAACCATGCCAAACATTAACACAGGAAGTAATCTCCAGATCTGCAATAGAATTTATCACACCATGCTCCAAATGATAGCAGCTTAAAAAAGTCTCCCACCCGTTGTCAGGCTTCTTAAGACAGCCCCTATTTCATAATGAAAATATTAGAATGTTGAACATTGGAGGGTCCAGCTATCATGAAATGTGTCAGAAAGTCTAAAGATGATCGTGATTCCGTTTGCACATGTGGACTCAGCTGCGTGGCTTTCCTGCATGTTGAAAGGGCAGGGAAAAGTACACAAGTGGACCCCCGTATTTGTCCCAGGTCATGAATTAGGGTGAAGGAGCCTGTCTGGTGTAGTTCACCTTTCTCTGACCCAGCTCTTCCTCTCAGGATCGGCTCCTTCAGCTCTAAATCCTTTCCGTCCTGGAGGACATTGCTCCTTGAGATTTGGGGATAAACAGCCTGAGGAACTAACAAATATTGGTGCTAGTCTTTCTCCCAAAGGCCAGCTGAAATGACATTAGGTTAATGACTCACTTTAGCCAGTTGTCTACCTCCTTTATAATTAATTCCCTTAGGCCAAAACCAACAGGCAGGCAGAGATTAACCTGAGACGTTTGTGCAGTGAGGTGGGAGGAACTCTGGGAAAAGAGTGCAGCACAGGAAAATGAATAACCAGCTTTCTCAACCTTTCCTGCTGAGCCGCTGCAGCCTGAGGTGACACCCAGGCTCTGAGCAAGCACTTCTCTTCCGAGAGGTCAGGGCAAATACGCTGAGATACAGAGGGCTCGGCACTGAGCACACAGCGTGTGACTCCTCAGGGCTGTCCAGTCACACAGCTTTGGGCTTTTCCACGTGGTCTCCCTTGACCTTTGCACAAGCTCCTCACTGCCCTCCCCTTTCAGGTCTTAGCTTAGCTGTCCCTACTGTCAGGTGGCCTTCTTGTCATACAGGGCATCATGATTTTCTTGAAGAACCTGTCCCCTGTTCTCAGCACCCTCCCCTCTGTGACAACCAGAGCCTTCCTTCATGCGACAGCTAGCACTGGGACACGGAGGGTACAGGCACCCCCCTAAATATATCCTGGAAGGGAAAAACAGCATCAGTGAGGGTGGGGAAGAAGGAACACAAATGCAAGAAGAGTCAAACTCAAAGGAAAAAGTGTGTGTAGGGTTTTATAAAGATCAGCTTCCAACAAGGAGTAAAAAAGGGCATCAATACACAAAGTTAAATGCACTGGGACTAACAACTAAAAATGCAGGTTACTGTAGAACTGCATTAGGACGTAGTTTTAGGGCTGCACTAGGACAGACTTATCTCAAATCTGGGGAACTGATACTCACACTCCAGGAACAGCTGATTCGGAGCTTTCCTGAGGTGGGATCCATCTGCCCTAACAAGCAGCAGGCATTTAACACGCTCAAGGAACACAGCAGAGGATGGCTGACCTGCCCTAATGTGCTACAGCCTGGACAGGAGCGTCCCCAAAGGTCCTTGTGCCAACGTTTTGGTGGCTAGCATGTGGCACTGGTGGGAGGCGGTAGAGCCTTCAGGGGGTGTGGCCCACTGGAAGAAAGCTGGGTCATTGGGGGTGTGTCCTTGAACGGGATATTGAGACCTGGCCCCTTCCCATCTCTCTTTTTGCTTCTCTGCCCCTGTGAAAAGAACAGATCTCCTCTAACACACATTCCTGCCATGATGTGCCACAGCAGGGCCAAAGCAACAAAGCCAAGCAACCACAGACTAAGACCTCTGAAATCATAAACCAAGATAAATCTTTCCTCCTTTTTTTCTCTCTTTTTAAATTTATTAACTAGGGCATTTTGTCACAGTGGCAGAAAGAGGAGTAACACACAATGCAAATCACAGGCAAAATTGCCCTACGAGGAATAGGAGAAAAATTAGCTGGGAAAGGCCAAGTATTAGCATTCAGAGGGTGCCTACCCTTCCTGAGAGGTCCTCACAAGAGCACAGGAGAGATGCACAGTGACAAGTTGGTGGTAATTGCTACGGTTAGTCTTCAGCTAAAGCCCACGCTATGGTTTGGATCTTAAATGTCCCCCAAAGGTCTAGGTGTAAAACCTTAGTCCCCATCCCTGACACCACAGGGAGGTATTTGGGCCTTTAGAAGGGAGGTTTCAGTCCCCAGGAGTGTGCGCTTGGAAGAGATGACGGGAGGCCATCTCTCCTTTTTCACACCTGGCTGTGAAGTGAATGGTTTGCAGCTCCACACGCTGCCTGCCACAGTGTGCTGCCTTCCTGTAGACCTGAAGCAACAGGGAGTGGCTGCACCAAAACCCCTAAAACCACAAGCCAAAGAAGACCTCTCCCCAGGTATTTGCTACAGTAATGGCAAGCTGACTAGCACAACATGCTCCTGAGGAGTAAAGGTACTACACTCCTTCAGGACCAGCTATCCTTTGGCAGCTGCCTCAGAAACCAGAGCTTCATAAAAGCTTGCTGAAGGAAAGAAACCAGCCCAGTAAGAGCCAGACACATCACATCTGGGAAAGGTGTGATGCCTGTCAGACCCAAGGGAAGAGAGGATCAGGCCAGTTCTGACAAGGAGATCAATCCCATGAGTCTTTTCTGCAATAAAGCAGGGCCACCTGATTGTCTATACTTGGAGATATACCTCAGGTTATCCTCTGTCCAAAACTGGCAAAACAATGTGGATTATTAACAAACCTTGGAGTGATAGGTGTGCTCTCCATCTTGGAAATTAATAGTGCCAAAGGTATCTGTAGGGCTTCTCGCTGTGTGCTTTTCAACAGACCATTGCTCATTTTCATTATCCTTGGCAGCAGAGAGGGTCCAGGCATGATCTATCCCATGGTGGTCTTGAACCAATCGGCCACAGTAGCACCTAGTTCCAAGAAGACAAACTTCAGAATACAAAGAGACCCAATATTTCTACATTTTTCTAGGGTAACGTATCGATGTCATAATTCTGAAAACTTCACACTGACTGAGTATACTGGTACACACTTATATTCCCAGCTACTTGGGAGATTAGAGAAGGAGGATCACAGGTTTGAAGCCAGCCTGGGCAAATTAGCAAGAACCTGCCCCAAAATAAAAAGTAAAAGGGTGAGGCATGTAGCTAATTGGTTAAAGCATTTGCTGCCCATGCATGAGGCTCTGGGCTCAACCCCAGCAATGAAAAAGAAAATTTCACAGTAAGATTTATATTACATTTAACACTGGATTATCCTCCAAATTTAAAAATACTCTAATTGCTTTTTCCCTGGACTGGATAGAAGAATTATTTGGAGTAGGTTTTAAAAAATACTAAAACTCTATTGTACATGCATGTTCATAGAAGCATTATTCACAATCGCCACAGGTGGAAGAAACCCAAATATACCCCTATGGATTCTTGGACAAATAAAATGTGGTCTATACACACAGTGGAATGTGATTAGAAAAGAAGGAAATTCTTGGCGAGGGATATAGCTCGGCAGCATAGCACCTGCCTGGCAAGCACAAGGTCCTGAGTTCAATTCCCAGTACCAAAATAGAAGGGAATTCTGACACATTAGAACACGGATGAACCTTGAGGATGTGACACTGACTGCAATAAGGCAGTCATAAAAAAGGCAAATTTTGTGTGATTCCACTTACATGAGGTATCTAAAGAAATCAGATTCCTAGAGACTGAAAATAGAATAGTGATTGTCACGGGCTTTAGAGAGTCATTTAATTTTTTTTTTTCTTTTTGAGACAGCGTCTTACTATGTAGTCCAGGCTTGCCTTGAGTTCACAGTGTAGCCCAGGATGCCCTCAAATTAGAGGCAATCCTCCTGCCTCAGCCTTCCAAGTGCTGGGATTATAGGCATGCATCATCATGCCTGACTGGGAGTCATTTATTAATACAGAGTTTCAGTTTTTCGAGATGAAAAACTTTTGAAGATCTGTTGCAAAACAATATGAAAGTACTAAGCCATATTGTATTCCACATTTTAGAATGGTTAAGATGGTTAAAAATCAAATTATATAAATATGTGCAACTTATTCTAGGTCTAGCATACCACAATAAAGCTGTTTGTAAAACATAAAAAAATATCTGACATGCCCTGCTTAAGGACAGTAAGACAATGTCCTCATGTAAAACTAATTATCCACATCAAAATGAAAAAATATTAATCAGTGCAAAATAAGATGTAGCATTTGAGATAGGTGCAAATAAAATCATTATTAGAAAAAAAGTAATGAGGCAGGAGGATTGTTGTGAGTTCAAGACCAGCCTGGGCTACAAAGTGAGCTCAAGGCCAGCCTGAACTGCACAGCAAGACCCTGTCTCAAAAAAACAAAAAATAAATTTTTTAAAAAAGAAAAAAAGCCATAAAAGAGACTAACTATGAACATAAAAAATAAATTAATATATAGTGTAACTTTAAAGGAGAGGAGTTTGAACAAATATTCTTTTAAAATAACAATAAATAGTCATAATTTCTACAATGTAACAAAATGAACCAAATTACTAGATTAATCTTTCATAAAACTAAACGTATAAAAATTAACAGAAAACATAGTAAATACCATTTGTAAAAGAATGATAGACTTCTTATCTCTCATAAATCAGAAGAAATCTCAAGGAAAATTAAAAATTTGAATATATTAAACTTTGTAAGTTTCCATGATGAAAAATCATATATCCGCATACCTACTACCAACAAAGAAATCTCTCAACTAAATCTTCCATGAAATGGTTCTAATCTGCTATGATTCAGGCTAGAAGAAAAGCAAATAGTACATTAAATAAAAAGTTTTCCTTTACTGGAATTGTTAATTGAGGCAATCCTGAAACTTAATAAATCTTGTTAATCTTTTTTTTTTTTTTTTTTTTTTTTTTGAGTACTGAGGATTGAACCCAGAGCTGTGCACTGAGCTATGACCCTAGCCATTTTTTTCATTTTTTAGTTTGAAGACAGGCTCTTACTAAGTCACTAAATTGCCCAGGCTGGCCTCCAACTTGTGATCCTCTTGCCTCAGCCTCCCAAAGTACTAGGATTTACAGGCATGCACCAATATACTCAGTTCAAATCTTCTTAATCTCACCGAATTTAGCAAAATAACTTGAAAGTGTCAGAGGCTGGTAAGGTGAGAATGATCTAGGCACAGTGGCACACACCCATAATCCAAGTATTTGGGAGGCTGAGGCAGGAGGATCACAAGTTCAAGGCCAGCATGGGCTACACAATTAGATCCTAAAAAAATAAAAGAGTAAGAGTAAACCCAGCACATTGATATATCTCTATGGTTAGTCAGTAATATATTGTAAAAGTATAATGGCAAGGCAAAGCATTACACTTTAAGACTTCAGTATTTCTCAATCATTGGTAAAATAAATAGAGATACTATCCTTAAGGCTATAAAATAAATTCCATTGTATATGCCACACCAGAGCCTTGAAAAGGGAAGATTACATGAAAAAATCACTGAAGTTAGGCAAGAAAATATTAAAACTCCCCTTTTATCACTATGCTTAAAAGCAAGCAAAATATTAAACTTTCGCTAATAGAGACTGAATGAAGCACCCTCACTTTGGGAAGAAGAGAGTTGACTAAACCACCTTCCTGAATGCAAGGCCATTCGTCCATCGTGACTTATACATAAATATTAACTAGACTTAGGGATTTTATTTAACTTGTTTCAACCAAAGTAGTCTTCACAAGTGGACAAGCAACTGGGGAAAAAATGAAACTACAACACAAATACTAAAAATAAAAGCACGAGAATGTAAGAGAACAGAACCAACACCAGTTCTTGCTTCTCATATAAACTCTTGGTAAGTCACAAAATGAAATGAAAACCATAAATATAGCATTAGGTTTTGTATCTCCTGTTTTAGTTTTTGTCCTTGTTTTTGTTCTTTTGTTTTATTGAAATGGAGTCTCACTGTGTTGCTCAGTTGGCCTCAAACTGTTGAGCCCAAACAATCCTCCTGCTTCAGCCTCCTGGTAGCTGGTTCTACAGACACAAACCACATTCAACTCTATCTCTTTTTAAATAATAGTATATTGTGGAATAACAACCAGGGTTTGCTATTACTAAATAAAATATTCTAATATCATTCATTGATCTATTCCCTTCATAGCTTTTTGTTTCTATATTGTATATAATAGGACATTTATATAACTTTAAAATAAGCATGCATATAATATACACAATGGGATATAGATCTCAAAAAGTTTAATGATATAGTACACAGTAAAATGTAGGAAGACAGCAGGCGTGATGGAGCATCCCTGTAATACCAGCACTCTGGGAAGGTGAGACAGAAGGATCACAAATTTCAGCCCAGTCTGGGCAATTTAGCAATTTAATGAGATCTTTTCTCAAAATAAAAAGTGAAAAAAGGCTGGGGATGCAACTCAGTGTGAATACTCTGGGTTCAATCTCCAGTATGGTAAAAGAAAAAAACAAAAAAATACAGTAGACCACACTATCATAGCAAAATTCCTTTGAACATGCATTCCAATAGATGATATTTATTTCTAAATGATATATTACTGTCAATCCACATTTAAACATTAGTCAAGATATATGTGAATTACAAGTTGTGATCAAAATTTACAGGGAATATTTAAATTTTTTAAATATATTAATCTCTCTCAAAATATTATACCTCACTTCACACACACTTATCCTGGCATTCTTTGCTTTATTAGTACATGTTTGTATTACATGATAACTGCATTCATCCTGGGGAACTGGCACATATACGTATCACATCATAACCACTTTACTTTTCTTGCCACTCAGAAGCAGTCTCGGGAAACCTCTTCCAGTAGTGTCTTCATGAGTTCTGATCAAAATTCAGTGAGTACCATCCAGTAGAAAGGCAGGCTTGTAAAATACGACAAAGTGTCACCATCTTACTCCTCTGAGGTGGCACCCTGTGATCTCTGGCTCTTTCCAAAGTCAAAATGGCCATCAAAAGTGAGCATTTTGAACTCGTTCAGGACATAAGGTAGCCACAACAGTGCCACTGACGATACCCAAGGGGCCTTGCAGAACTACCTCAGGAAGTGTGGAGGACCACAGCATAGGTGTGTCCCAAGCGAGGGGGAGGATGCTGAAGGCATTAACAGCATTGTGTATTTTACTGTAATAAATGTGTTTAATTTAAACGGTCACTGTGTTTTGCTCACATCTCATAGATGGCCCACATTATTCGTTGGTGCTCCAAATAATGTGGAGCACTACGAAAGACAGCAAATAATTAAATAACCTAAAGGTCCATCAGTAAAGAACCAAAGAGATCATTTACGACACACCTGTATTGTGTGGCAAACAAGGAATGCTCTCTGTCCAACTACAGAAGGCACTCCTGCACCCACAAGCGAATGAGCACCAGGAAATTCACCATGGCGCGCTTGGTGTGTTCTCTGCTATGGCCTCAATGTCTATGGAAAACAAATGGCTGGAGAAAAATTAAAATATGTATTTCATTTTGGTTTATGTGAATCAAAAACTCTGAAAGAACTCTCAGAACGCTAATACTAGTGGAAACCATGTGTCAGATTACGGGGATGGGGCTGCCTCCTCCCCACCAGCAAGAGTGGCTGGGGGATTTTTCCCTGTGACATTTTTCACTTCACATCTTTTTTAATTTTTTTTGGTTTTTCTCCAGTACCGGGAACTGAACTCATGACCTTGCGCTTGCCAGGCAGGCGCTTTGCTGCTGAGCTAAATCCCCAGCCCCTCACTTCACATCTTTTGATACTTACATTCTAAACTATGTGAAATTTTAAAATATATGAGTAAGTTTTAATTTTTAAAAAATAAAAATGTAAATTCTAATCTTCTTTCAAGGGCACCTAATGGACTGTTTTTAAATCTACAGAGTTTATACACCCAAATTTACTGGCCAATATTCTAGAGACTACACCGCAATCCAGTTCTGGGATTCTGTGTGTAGCTCATGAAAAGGTTGTAGAAGACAAGAGAAATTAGTGTAGGAGGACAAAATAAATGCATAACTACTGATACTGAGCCACTGGAAGGTGTTTCATAAATATGGGGCTGACAACAACAACGTTCTCGGGTACAATCTAAAAAGTGCCACAGTTATTCCCAAATCCAGGAAAATTTACCAGTGTCCTAAGCACAAGGATCACAACCGCCAGTAGCTAACTGGCTCTTTAAAGTTTACAAAGTGTTTCCCAAACACTCTGAAACCTTTACATGTTTTTTCTCCATGACCCTGAAAACTGAGAACTCTAATTTTTTTCAAAAATAAATTTAACATTGGTTCAATTCATAGCTTCAGGATATGATTAGAACTAAGGAACTTTTTTTTTTTTTGTCTTTTTGAGACAGGGTCTCGTTATGTAGTTCAGGCCAGCCTTGAGCTCACTTTGTAGCCCAGGCTGGCCTCGAACTCACAATGATCCTCCTGCCTCAGCCTCCTGAGTGCTGGGATTATAGGTGTGCGCCACCACGCCTGGCAGAATTAAGGAACTTTTATTTCCTTCCACTGACATAAAAAAAAAGAAAGGCAAACCAGTTACTAATGTGTAATTTAAAACATATATCACTGTTAAAATTTGTTTTGTTTTAGTTTGGCACGCTATACAAATATTTTTGCACATGAGTGCTATGTACACACATTATTGCACTTCACTTTTGAACCATGTGAAATTTTTAAATATATTAATAAATTTTAATTGTGTTTAGATAACTAAAAAGCCATAGAGCGAATACCATGCTGCACATACAAGAAGCAGCCTCCTTTTCTCTAAATACAATGTGAGAAAATGAAAGGATGAATAGTAAAATGAAAAGGTAATGCTTCACAAGTGTTTCCATTGGCTGAAGCTCTTACCATTTACATCTGCAATAACTCAAGTATCCAATTATATTCAATCCCTCTTTCTCAACAATAACCTCTTCTATAAAACTTTCCTTGGACGGGAAACAGCATACACCTTACAGTGAGTCCATGCCCAATATGAAGAGTTAGAAAGAGGTTTGTTTAAGTCTTACCTGATTAAATTCTGGCACACTTGGCAGCCTGGTACACACCTGAGTTAAAGAAACAAAGTGTCAGTTTACTGATATATTTGAAAATGTAATTAATGCTTACGTGGTAAATTATCTGCAATGATCTGGAAATCAGGAATTGCTGAGCATTCATATATAATATTTTCTATATGTCATTTGCTATGTATAATTATGCGGCAGCAGCTATGACATAATTAATAAAACATGGAATCTTAAACCAGAACACCTGGATTTTTAATCTCATTGACTTAGCGATTCCTCTAAGCACGAGTTTTCTTTTTTTTTTTTTTTTCTGGTACTGGGAATTGAACTCATGAGCTCACGCTTGCTAGGCAGGTGCTGTGCCACTGAGCTAAATCCCCAGCAAAGCATGAGTTTTCACATCTGGCAATAATATCTACCCATAAAGTGATTAAAGGGTTATCTGGGCCAAGTGTGGTGGCAAATGCCTGTAATCCCAGCACTCAAAGAGGCTGAGGCAGGAAGATTTCTTTGAGTTCAAGTAAGACCAGCCTGGGCTACATAGTGAGTTCAAGGCCAGCCTGAACTGCATAGCAAAACCATGTTTCAAAAAGACAAGAAAAAAAAAAAGTAGAAAATAAGAAAGGAAAAGATGTTACAATCAAGTCTATCAGACCATTTATTAGATGCTTAGAAGGAATTAATAATGGAAATAAAATGTTATTGAAATTTAAAAAAGTGAAACACTACCATTTTCCTGTCCATAATAATGAGGAAAACCACAAAAAAGCTATAATTGTGAGACTCTTCCTAGAATCCCATAAAAAGAGAGCTATAGGAAGAATGGCCATTGTCATCCATTAGCTTTTTATAATCGCACAAAAAGAGAGACTGCTTTTTTCTCCATAATATGTAGCAGGTTGTGGGCCACTCGTGACATTGTGATTGCTGACATTCCTTTTTCTTCCTGTTCTTGGTGCCAGGCCTCAAGCCCCCAGCCTCACAGGGGCTAAGCACATGCTCTACCCCAAGCGCATCCTGGCCCCACCGATATTCTTCTTGGGTTCTGCGATTCTATGGGTTAATAACAGACTTAGTAATTTCATTACTTTTTTATGAGGTTCAAGGCAATTGTGAAGATGATTTTCCATTTTTAGAAGCAAAACGAGCTACTTGGAACTCAATCTACTTTCCCCTGCAGCCACCATCTCGTTATGAGAAATCAAAAAGACGGAGGGGAGAACAAGGTTACCTTGGCATTCTATAAACACTGGCACACAGGTAAAATGAGAATTTCCAGTCCCAGGGCCTACACACCATAAATTCAAGGAGGGTGGGACTAGTCAATGTTTAACACAGGCAAGGAGCCCTCTTTGGTCATCCTCAAAGAACTAGAATTTCAAGAACCTCACCACGCTACCCTTCCTAAGCACACAGTTACGATTTCTAAACTTGAATATAAGGCCAATGGGGCAAAGGAGTCTAAAAATAGAGTAGCTCCTTTCATTAAAGTATTATCTTTCTATTAGCCTTTTAATTGTCCCCCCAGGGCGATGATATCCAATCTTAATTTCATGGAACTGATTACCCCGGGAATTTTCCGTAACCCTTTCTTCCTCTGCCTTTCCCAGCCTGCCATGTTGAACTTTGTTCTACAAGTAGAGTTTCCAAACTGCTGTCAAGAGCTCAGGGCAGTCAAACCCAAACCATCCGCTCCACTGCCCATCACCTGCTCAAGTAAAAAGCCCAGGGGAGGAAACTGCAGCTACAATTGCACATTTGCATAATCTGAGCACTTCAACCTGAACTGTCCTCAACAGTCAGTTTTCCATGAGTAGTTGAGCTGGGGATAAGGAATATTCCCAGTATTTGGGACATTCAAATCCAGACATTAGACGTTGTTGATCCAGACTCCACAGAAGGAATGCATTATTTCCCTAGAACATCTATCTGCCATCAGGAGGAGGGAAATCTACTACCATGGGGGCAGCGATGTCAGCACGCGTGGTTGCTTTATTCTTTGTTGGTTCAGTAAACAGATGTTTATCGGGAGCCACTGTCATAGGCACTGTGGCTGAAGGAAGTTATGATACTGACGCAGTCCCTTTTCTTACCAGATTTTCTGGAATAATCATGTTGTACTTTTGTAAAATTAAAAAAAAAAAAAAAAAAAAAACTCTCATTAAAATTAACACATACTAACCTTAGAGATACTGTCAAATGTTCTAGACAAGTCATGTTTCTAAATTTCTACAAACAGCCCTTTGAGTAGTATTGCTTTAAAAAAATGTAAGTAAAAAATTTTACCTGTGAGGGTCTTTTGAACTGGGTATGACCTTCTTACATTCTCTCTTGGTGAACACTCTTTCAATCCAGGATTTCTGAGATTGAACAGAAAGTGTCATTATTTTCTAAGAGAAAAAGCAACATAACCACAGCAGCCCAAATAGGCCAGATTTATGTAGGTGTCATGGACGCTCATTAAAATGCTAAGACCAGCCCAAAACAAACTCACAAGTGATTCACAAGATTCCAGGAAAGACACAGCTGACGTATTCTCGTAAGGCTACTAAATGTCACCTTTGTGTCTTGCAACATAATCTTACGGCAGAAATATCTAGCTCTCAAAACTCAGACTTCCCACTCAGGAAGTCCTACTTTGGCTAGGATTTCACAGGAAGCTGGGAAGAGCATCAGAGGACAGATGATGCACCGGCAAGAGCTGACACAGCGTCTCAAGCGTGCCTTACCACTGACAATGTCACTGCATGTGGCATAGCCTATAACTGCCCCTGCATCCAAGTAGGACACTGGGACCCACACCTCCTCCTCAAAAAATTGACCCCATTCCTCCAAAGAGAGGTCATACCCAACCTCCCCTAAAAGCTGTGTTAGGGTCTATCTAGAGGCACAAGACATGGAACCTTCCATAGAGCCCTGCCACCCCATGAGCTCATCCTGATAAATACTTCAACTCCTTAGGGCGTGAGTGTACAAGTACAAATATAGCTTTATACACAGATATGTACAAGGTGTGATTGAAACCTGCAGTGAATGTTTAAATTTATTTACGTTTATTACAGGAAAGGACACGTTGACATTAAACCCCTCCAAATCCTGCCCCTTGCTTTGAACACATTTATCCCATCATCCTTGCCACGTTCTCAAGCAGTGCCAGGAGTCCCGCTTTCATGAGTGCCTTTAGCTGCACTGTCGTGGCTGCCTCGATGTCCCGAATTGATTTACGATGTTTACCTTTCACGGTCATTCTGACTCTGAGGGAGAGCCAGACCTGGTGAGTGAAGGGCAACAACACGTGTGGCTGTTTTCGTGAGCATGCCTTTCCACCGGATGCCACTTGACAGCAGCATTCATCATATTTTATTTTAATTACATTTCATAAAGACACTTATGAAAGAGGAACTCCAGCACTGCTTTAGAAAGTGACAAGAATGATGGGATAAGTTTGTTCAAAGTGAAGAGGAGCATTTTGACGGAGATCAGTGGCAATATGTCTTTTATTGCAATAAACTTTTTAAATTTAAACATTCACATATGTTTCGATCACACCTTAGAGACAAAAGGGAGGGAAGCCAGACTGTCTATGGGGACATCTGCACACCCCACACCGGCACAGGCCCATCTGTATTTGTACCTCCCCAGATCCCATCCCCAGAGGAAACGTGATGGGCAGAAGCCAGGTGTCAGTACACCTTCACACTATCTTCAAGGTATCTTCAAAACTCTGAGGGAGGGTAAAAGTGAGGCAACTCATGAAATCCCTTACACACTTATCTTGTCCCATGCACACCCACCCTAAATCCAAGTGCTCACTACTGGTAGGAGTCAAGATAATCAGAGTTTGGAGTTTGTTAAGAGAGGGGACAGTAGAGACTGATCAGTTGGTCCTTGTGCATTTAACACATATCTGCAAACAAGGAAACTTCCCAAATGAAGACCAGTGTTACCTCAAATCCTTCTACTCTCTTCCCTTTTACCTGGGTTGGCAAGTATTTTTATGTATTTCAAGGCATTCAGTAAGTTGGCAAGCCAGGCATAGTGGCGCACACCTGTAATCCCAGCACTTGGGAAGCTGAGGCACGAGGACTGCTGTGAGTTCAAGACCAGCCTGGCTACAAAGTGAGCTCAAGGCCAGCCTGAACTGCACCGCATGACCCTGTCTCAAAAAGACCAAAAAAAAGAACCAAAAAAACAAAAAACAATAAGTTGGCAAAACACTGAAAACATACACTTAGAAAAATCCAAAGTCCTAAAATGTAAAATAAACTAATTGAGTAGTAAATTCAAAATCTGTTTATTATACTATGAAATGACACCCAAAGGAAAAAAAAAAAAAAATGCTCAGTACAATGGTGCATGCCTGTAATTCCAGCACTTGGGAGGCTCAGGAAGTAGGATCACGGAGAGTTCTTGACCAACTTAAACTGCATAGCAAGATCTTATCTCAGAAAAAGAATGAAATGACACACTCATTCAGAATCAGCAAGACTGGTCTCCTATTCAAAAACATTAATAATTAATAGGAAAAACAAACAAACAAATTAGCAGCTCCATTTATGTATTCCTTCCAACATGTACTGAGTACCTAACTTTGCAAAGCACTGGCAAAGATTCTGTGAAGGAGCTGATATGACCTCTAGAAAGCTTTTGTTCTGAATTTCAAAATATTTAAGTCTATTAATTCATTCAACAAATACCTGGCACAGGCTTTGACATTGCATTCTGGGAACTCTACAGCAAACAAGATGAGATTCTCGCTGCCAAGAAAAGTTGAAGCTGGCACAGCGGCACAGCCCTTTAATCCCAGTTCTCTGGGAGGCTGAGGCAGGAAGATTGCAAGTTCATGTCCTATTTAGGAAACTAAGCAACACAGAGAGCCTCTGTTTGAAAATAAAAAGTAAAAAAGGGCTTGGGATATAGCTCAGTGCAAAGGCCCTGGGTTCAGTCCTTAGTACAGCAACAACAAAAAGAAAGCCAGGCATATATTTCTGCCTACTGCTCCTGGGACATTAATATTTAGAGTCTTGAACTTCAGTGTAAGGATTTGACTAGAAAAATAAAATTTATTTGACTAAAATAAAAGGGAAGAAACAGACAAGAAATTGATATTACAATTCATGTGCACACTTAGCTATTAAATACAGCTACAAGCCAGGAACAATGGTGTGTGCCTGTACTCAGGACACTGAAGCAGGAGGACTGCTTGAGCCTCCACGCTTGAGATCAGCCTGGGCAACTAAATGAGATCCTATCTCAAAATGAAACAAACACGTAAATAAAGCTGCAAAAGCCCCCCATCATATAGGAGCTGGTATATACACATTAAGCAAGCTGAGCTCAGCTGCTCCTGCCTTTTTTTTTTTTTTTTCCTTTGGTTTTTTTTTTTCTGGTACCAGGAATCGAACTCATGACTTTGCACTTTCGAGGCAGGTGCTGTGCCACTGAGCTAAATCCTCAGCCCCCCGGTTCCTATCTTTTGAATGACTGGATAGCTGCTCTGTGTAGGATTTTCAAGGCAAACCATGACTGCTCCTCTATACAGAGAAGATAATGACACCACCTCAGCTGAGGGTTTAGCATGCACTTATCATCTGAGGACCTAGGTTTAGTCCCCAACACCAAGAGAAAATGACAGCAATAATAATGGACCCTCCAAGAACAAATGAAGGATCACGTAAGTTAAAGGTTTAGTGTTCTCAGGCTGGGGAGTCAGCTCAGCGGCACAGCACCTGCCTGCCAAGAGCAAGGTTGTGAGTTTGATTCCCAGTACCAGAAAAAAAAAAAAAAAAAGGTTTAGCATTCTCCCTGGGGCTTTTGATATCTCAATAAAGCTTAGCTGTTATTAGTGGCCATACCAAAAGTAAAGGTTAGTTTTCAGTTAGTGGCCTGGGAACGCTGATACACTTTTTCCACAGAAAAATACCTGCTGCCTCCTCAGCCCCCTCACAGCCCTCCTGTGACAGAGTGGAACAGCCTTTAGGGGTGCACCTCTCCTCCCCTAGATTCCAGCTCCCCTACACCAGGTGCAATCCTTTCCACTGCCCCAGGGCCCAAGCTAGAGATTGGTGAATGGGAAACAAAATGAACACACTTCACACAGAGCTTCAGGCACCCTGCTGGGGAACTTTCCCTCCACCGAGCTCCCCACGAAGCCTAACAAGAAGAGAAGGCTTTCCTTCTCAAAACCATCAGAGAGAAAAGCAGCCTCCATCTGAGAGGGTTTAAAGCAATTCTGCCTTGGGGAGGTGTTGCTGTCCTCCCGCCTCCTGGAGGGCATCCTTTCCACTGGATTCCCTGCAGACTCTTCAACTGCTGCTGACAGCCCACAGCGGCCTGGGGCAGGCATGCACGGTGCCGGCTTCCCTGCCAGCGGCAGGAAACTGCAGCCCAGGAGCAGCTGTCCATGGGGACCATGCCCCTTCCGCAGCTACTGTGCCCGTCTTCCTGTATTGGATTTTCACTGTTGTTACTTGGGGCATGGAAAGATAAAAGAGAAATCGTGTCCACTCAGTTTGCTTGGCCTTAAAACATAATCAGATTTTGCAACCAACCCTGGGCCTCGGGTGAAGGTGGGGAGTTGCAGGGAAATGTCTACACGCAGCTCACAGAAACCAGTCCTCTCCCTGCTCTCTTTACGCTGCTGAGGACCCAGCCCGCTCTCACGCACGGAGGCAAGTGCCCTGCCCTGAGCTCAGCCTGGCTGCCCCAGCTGAGTGAAGCTACCCTAGGGTTTGAAGCTTACAGATCCCCTCGGGAAAATCTCTCAGGAGGCACCGTCCTAGAGGCACGTTCCTTAATGTTCAAAAACTGATTGTTTTAACATCCACAGGGCTGAGTGACAGAGGATGAAGGTGGTCAAAGGTAACAAGTTATTTGTTTTCTTTTAAAAACTTTTTTGTTCCTTCAAAAAACTCTAACATCTGACCAGCGAATGGGTGACCTGCTAAATGCCAATGCTAAATGGCACTCACTCAGCTTGGATGTTGTCTCCTGACTTGTAGTGCAGACTCTTCGGCTTCTGCCTTGGATCCTTCAGCCTTCCAGTGTAGACTCATCTGCCTCCCTCCAATCACAGACCCATCGGCCTCCGGATGGGGACTTGCACGGAACACTGCAGTGAGCTCTAGACCCTGGACTGAATCTTTCGGTCTCCAGTGTGCGGACAACCTCTGCACACTTCCTCATCCAACTCTGTGGCTGACCATCATAAGCCAGTCTTGTCATTTCTTATACATTTGTGTACCTTATCTCATATCTCTTTCTGTAGTAAAACCCTGACTGATACACTGGTGCAAGGATCCCCTCACACTGGTGCCTGAACAAACTGTCTGCATGAACTGGGCACATGAATACTCCCTTG